CACACACACACACACACACACACACACACAGAGAGTACGCACAGGCGTGTGGTGTCTTACCAACTCTGAGAGGCAAATTAAGTAAGAGAAAAATTTTTTTTTAAGTGATTATCACTTCAAAACGTTTTTTTTCTCTTACTTAGTTGGCCTCTCAGAGTTAGTAAGACAACTCCCATGCTCTCTGTATGTGTGTATATATATCTCCTCAATATATGTTCCACTCTATATGCATCCGAAGAAGTGGGCAGTAGCCCACGAAAGCTTATGCTCTAATACATTTGTTAGTCTCTAAGGTGCCACAAGTACTCCTGTTCTTTTTATCTAGCACCAGTGTCTCAAGGTCTCCTCCCAAATGATACCCTAAATAAGACACTTCTGTCATGGCCAACTTGCACTTGGCAGGATTAGCTCTGAGGCTGGCCTCCTGAATGGAACCAGAACCCCTCTTAGCTGACATAAGTGGTTTTCCCACACACGGCTATGGCTACAATGTTGTCAAGGTAAGCCCCAGCATATTGGTGGTGGTGTCGGAGGATTCGATTCAGAAGGTGCTAGAAAGTTGCTGCCACCCCCCCTTGGAGGCCAAATGGCATGGTTTTAAAATGGAAATGACCAAAGGGGGTTGAACACATTCTCTTCCTGGGAGGATGGAGACCAGGGGATCTGCCAATAGCTTTTTGTGAGGTCATCCATGCTGAGGTATCACACCAGGCCCAACCACTCTAACAGCTCAGCCACCTTTATATTTATTTATTTATTTGTCGTTGGATAAGTGTAAAACTTTGATAGAATTGACCATACAAAAGCTTGCCCCCATGTATTGTCGAGGTCTTCCCCTCTCCGTGTGGGTAGCTTGGGTCTGGTATTTGTACACGTTTTCTGTCATGCCTGGGATTCAGTAACTGCTGGCAGGCATCCAGCACCATGAGTGGTCCTAGTAGGCTAGTGGGCAGAGGCTGTACAGTCCCATATCTAGTGACCCATCAGCTGTGAGAAAATTCTCCACCAGCTGCACCATGTATGAAAATTACTTGGGGTGATGCTGGAGCACCCACTCCCAACCCCTTGCTGTAAATATGAATACAAATTCTGCATCCTGGACTGGCTCAGAGCATTTGCCTGGGCACAGCTACCACCAGCAATGCTCTGTAATCGGTGCACCACCATCAAAAGCCTGCCCCCTTGGGGTACATCTCTGCATTAAAGTGGGCATCTTCACAGATAGCCAGGTAATCTAAAACAGTGGCCTTCACCCAACTGTAGTCTCTGGCCGGTTCGGGTCAAAGTTGCAGAAGGCCAACTGTGCCTGTCCCGTCATGTATGGAGCTAAAACTAAGTCCCAAAGTTTCAGAGACCATTGAGAGACTAGCGCCACCCTCTCAAAGGTGGTTTGGAATGCCTCAGGATTGTAGTTAGGGCCCATCTTAGTTAACGTCGCAGTTGGCAGAGCTCTGGGATTGGGCGCTTCGGGGCCTCCCTGTGCAGGAGTTGGGGCGGGGGGGGGTTAACTGTTGCAGAAAGTCCCTCTGGAACTCGGGCTGCTGGATACAACCTCCTGCAACAGCTGCTGCTGGGACATCCAGTGCTGCAACATTGGCTGCTGGAATTGCTGTTGCTAGTTGGCTTGCTGCTATTGCCATTCTGCTATCCATTTACACCAGTGTTCAGGGTCTATTGCAGCTGAAGCCTCCCGTCAAAGGGCTGGTATGGAACCTGTTTCTGTCTCAGGGTCTTGTATCAGGTACAGGGCTTCATGTCTGCCTTCTTCCTCAGTTGTGGTTAGCCAACCCTCAGCCTGGGCTTGGCCTTAGTGTCATTGAGTCTCTTGCCCCTGGGTCCCCTACAGGAGCCCCCCTCCTGGGGAATCTCACTCCTCCCAGTGGGAGTTTCTCACTCCTGGGGTATTCTCAGAGTCTAATTACAGTTCACTTACCCAGGACCCTGGGTCCTGCCACAGGTAGTAGGCGGGAAGCAGCCTTTTAGGGCTTCTTGCCTGCATCAGGCTCGTATTGTCAGTCTGCACCAACCAAAAGGGGGCAAAGGGAAGGAAGAAAGGCTAGCCAAAGCCATGGGCTGAGTTCCCCTTGATACTGGCAGTCCCTAACAGTGTGGGCAAACTCCCCTCCCCTTCCCTCCTCCCCCCCACCCCCCGTTTTGTGATCAAATTCAGCATTTTAAACTCCCCTTCTCCAGGTGGAGCATGTCTTTCAGGCATGCCTAACTGGCACTAGCCTTTCTACCAGTGGGATAGGGGTGTATCCCATCACAGGAGCCACCATAAGAAGATACAGATCATTAGAAGAGAGTCACTTGTTTCTACCTTAAATGAAAGATCACAGACTCTCTGCAGGCAGAGGGAAATGTTAGAGGCCTCAGTTATGGTTGGGTAAATTTCTTTTTGTTGTTGGTTGGGTTTTTTTAGGTATCTGAGTTGCAATCTCTATATAAAACTATTAATCTGAAGTAAATTGTTAATTTAAAACTGCCTTGTGAGAAACTGGCTATAAAATATAGGTTTTTTTTAACTTACCAAAATAAGCCTCAGTCTCAGAATCTAAGCGTGTCTCCTGTGTCCTTCAGTAATGTGGAGGAATCTTTAGAATACAAAATGAGTATATTAACAGTATACCTTTTAGGCTTATAAGAAAGTGTGAGAGTAACATCTTAGATGCAAGTAGTGCTTTCTGGAATGGGATTCCACAGTATAATCAAATGAAATCACAAGTCTCCAGACAACTCACTGTTTCATTGATGTGAAACTTATTACTTTACCCTCTCTATGTCTCTCTTTCTATATATATCCATCCAAGTTGCTAGACTTGCACAAAAAATGTGTATCCATTATTTGAAAATTTTTCCCTAGGGAACTAGTAGAAATCCTATTTTTAATGCATGAAAATCTGGACTAGACAAAGCACTCAAGTATAGTACAGGGAACAATGCTATTCTGACTTAAGGCCAGAATGAGCAAAATGATTAAATCAGGTGTTTTCCATCTCCAGCTTCTGTGGGGTTTTTTTGTTTTGTTTTTTGACTGGAAGAGCTGTATAGTATGAAGGCAGATGGACAGTTAAATGTCTAATGAATGACAGACAGTGGCTGATTCTGAAATATCAGCTTTGTTCTCTTACTTGCCATAGGTTTTCTGTTAGCTCTTCTGGACAGTTGAATATCCACAATACGACATACTACCCTTTCCGTTGGTACATAATATAAAAGGAATGTCTAGGAACTTGGCTCCATTCAGCAATGCAAAGCAGTACAGTTACAAGCTTTTCGGACAGTAAAACAGCAAGAGGCATTGACTACTTTAATTGTGATTACACAAATACGATACCTACAAAAATGCCATCATTCGGGGCACAAGAATGGATAAGAACTCGTAAACAAACTGATCCAAAAAGTTTAGGATATTTATAAACACTATCAATCTGATTGTGTTAGAGATGTGGCACAGTACATCAGAGATAGCACTACTTATATTCCTTCCTCCTAATCTCTGGTTTCCTGTAGATTGTGAGTTGCTTGGGGCAGAGACTGTACTTTCTTGTCATCTGCAAATAGCTCAGTATATTTGTGATGTTACCATAAAAGAATAATAATAATAATGATAATAATTAATAATAAATAGATGCATGATGCTGAGGTTTCTAGAAAGATTCCCAAGTAATAAATTGTAATGGATTCCTAAAAATGTACCTGGAAAAGGAGGTGGAATCATAAAAGGAAGTCATTTACTCAAATTTGAAACCCCAAAGCCCCTTTTATGGTGATTTACTGCCACGTAATTGGACAACAGGCCGATCAGATGTTTAAAGTATTCGGAATGCTGAAAGTATTGGTGATGCAAGAAATGCAATAGAGTGCCTTAAAACTACACAATTTAGAGGTAAAGCAGGGTGGCTTTGTTTTGGCAACATAGGCTACTTCTTTCCTGAATGACAGCAGTCATGTGGGGCTTGGTTGACTTGCCTTAAATATCTTGAGTGTCCTCATACAGACATGACCTTAGAGGTGTAGCTTTCAATGCCTTTGTCTAAATCATATTTATAAATAATGTGACCAAGCTTCCTCTCCACCTCGGTGGGTCCTGTGCTTCTGTTTGGCGTGGGGGCTGAGGTATTCCTCTTTTTCTTCAGAATTTCCCCCCATGCCCCTGGGTTTACTGTCCTCACCCTATTGGAGCAGAGTTCCTCCCGGCCTTCCCTCAGACCTCCAGGGCCTGGAAGGGCCAACCACCCTGTTGGGCAGGGATTCTCCCACCCTTCGCCACTGTACCTGCGTGGCTTCTCTAGTAATGCTTGTCAGCGTCTGCACTGCGTAGCTCTCCAGTAGCTCGCCTTCCTTCCTCTGCTCCTATACTCCATTTTTTCACCTCGGTCATGTTTTTTTCAGCCTATAAAAGTTGTTCCTCATATGCATATAAATGCCTGAATGGAAAATGCCCCACAAAACCAAACCCAGAATGTGATGGAATAAGAGACTGTGGAGATGGATCTGATGAAATGAACTGTGGTATGTGAAGTTTAATTTATTTGAAATACATTTTAAATGAAAGTTAATTCATGAGTGAATTATTGCAGTAAACGTAAATATATATTTATATATTTGGCTCAAAATTTGGGTCAAATTTAGTATATATTTAAAAAGAAAAGATAGGATTTATAAAACCCCATATGAATAAAAATAATTCTTTGATAATATTTATATGAAAACATTTCCTTTACATCTTTCTCTGCTTTATCACCAACCCAAATACAATAACCTTGGGCCAGTTGAGGATGCCCAGAAAGTGACAATTATTTAAAATACTGCGCTAAGTGAAACTGACGTGCCTGGGATCAGTGTCCACGCTGAGTGAAGTTTAAAAAAAGTGAAGAAGTCACATATGTGGTGAAAAGTAAATTTGATATTAAAACTTCCTTTTAAGTAAATAGATCTTACCTGTAATACCTGTAAAAATAGTGGTTTTAGTATTATCAAGAGCATCCACTTTGTACCTTAGCTTGGATAGAATACTGGAGCAGGATCAGTAGATGTGAGTTCAATTCCTGGCTCTGTCATAGAATCATAGAAGATTAGGGTTGGAAGGGACCTCAGGAGGTCATCTAGTCCAACCTCCTGCTCAAAGCAGGACCAACCCCAACTATATCATCCCAGCCAGAGCTTTGTCAAGAAGGGCCTTAAAAACCTCTAAGGATGGAGATTCCACCACCTCCCTAGGTAACCCATTCCAGTGCTTCACCACCCTCCTAGTGAAATAGCTGTTCCTAATATGCAACCTAGACCTCCCACCCTGCAACTTGAGACCATTGCTGCTGCTTCTGTCATCTGTCACCACCGAGAACAGCCTAATTCCATCCTCTTTGGAACCCCCCTTCAGATAGTTGAAGGCTGTTATCAAATCCACCCTCGTGCTTCTCTTCTGCAGACTAAAGAAGCCCAGTTTCCTCAGCCTCTCCTCATAAGTCATGTTCTCCAGCCCCCCATCATTTTCTTTGCCCTCTCCTGGACTCTCTCCAATTTGTCCACATCCTTTCTGTAGTGGGGGCCCCAAAACTGGACGCAGTACTCCAGATGTGGCCTCACTAGTGCCGAATAGAGGGGAATAATCACTTCCCTTGTTCCGCTGGCAATACTCCTACTAATGCAGCCCAATATGCCGTTAGCCTTTGTGGCAACAAGGGCACACTGTTGACTCATATGCAGCTTCTCGTCCACTGTAATCCCTAGGTCCTTATCTGCAGAACTGCCGCTTAGCCAATCGGTCCCCAGCCTGTAGCAGTGCATGGGATTCTTCCGTCCTAAGTGCACTTGTCCTTGTTGAATCTAATCAGATTTCTTTTCTGAATCCTCCAATTTGTCTAGGTCACTCTGGACCCTATTCCTACCCTACAACATATCTACCTCTTCCCCCAGCTTAGTGTCATCCATGAACTTGCTGAGAGTACAATCCATCCCATCATCCAGATCATTAATGAAGATGTTGAACAAAACTGGCCCCAGGACCAACCCCTGGGGCACTCCGGTTGATACTGGCTGCCAGCTAGACATTGAGCCATTGATCGCTACCCGTTGAGCCTGACAATTTAACCAGCTTTCTATCCACCTTATAGTCCATTCATCCAATCCATACTTTTTTAACTTGCTGCCAAGAATACGGTGGGAAACTGTATCAAAAACTTTGCTAAAGTAAAGATATATCATGTCCACCGCATTCCCCATATCCACAGAACCAGTTATCTCATCATAGAAGGCAATCAGGTTGGTCAGGCATGGCTTGCCCTTGGCGAATCCATGATGACTCTTCCTGATCACCTTCCTCTCTTCCAAGTGCTTCAAAATGGATTCTTTGAGGTCCTGTCCCTGTCTTGCAGTCACTTAATCTCATTTGTAACATGGGAATGATGATACTTAACATTCCTTTGTGAAGCATTTTGGGATCTGCAGTTGGAAGAACGCAGTTTAAGAGCCAAGTATTAATAAACCTAAGTAAAATGGCCTACTGCCTTATGTGTATTAAAATCTTAATCCGCCTGTTCAATACTTTCTTTATTAGCTTGTGGAAGAATGCAGTTAAAAAAACTAGAATTGTTGGAGGTGAAGATGCAAGATCTGGAAAGTGGCCTTGGCAAGCAAGCTTGCAGATGGGAATGTATGGCCATATTTGTGGTGCATCTGTTGTTTCAAATAGGTGGTTGTTATCTGCTGCCCATTGTTTTCTGGACTCTGATTCTATAAGGTAAGTACAGGTTGTACAATCCAGCGTATACACAGTTTAGTTTCACAGTTTTAGTTTCATTAGTTTATGTATCCATGATGCTGGCATAGTGGCTTTGAATGCATAGTTCTGTGCACATGGTCTAATTGTTTTGTAGACCCAGTGTACGTTTCATCCAATAATCAAAACTATAAAGTATCCAGAATAATTATACCACCACTGTAACCAGAAAGTAAATCCTGCTGTTGAACCATGGAGTTAATTGTGAATGCAGCATAAATTTTTTATTTCCAAAATAATACTCCTAACCGTTAAGATTAGAGCACCTCTAACAGTGGGAAAGTATGGAAATTGGCTGGTGGATAGGGGCTAGTGGTGTAGTGAAGACAGGCATGGTGATGCATAATATCCTGCAAATATCAAGATTACTCATGTGCAGCATCACTGAGGGATTTGGAAAGCTGGACTTCCTCAACTGTAGATGGATCCCAAGTACCCATTCTATGTTTAAAATGCCATCCTCCTATCAAGCTAATGAGTGCATTGATGGGCTACCACTCAATGTTAGGAGCAAGCTGTGGTCCATCCTGATTTTAATTGGATGGCTAGATGAAATATCTGAAGTCTAGGAGTCAGGACTCAGAACTTCTGGGTTCTCTTCACAAAAGAGTCATAGTGAGGGATAAAAATGGCAATATTCCATTCAGACTACATCTGCATGATCTGAGCAGCTGCAAGTTCTGCCAAAATAAGTAGTGAAAAAAGTTGGCAATGTTGACATTTAGGAACCTTGATTTTTCAGATTTGTACAATGTAATAACTGCAATTACGTGCAGAAAAAGGGTAGCTATACATCTAACTGGCCACTTGGAAGCACAATTACCCACTTTGCATACAAAAAAATCAGACAAATAGGCATAGATTATCAGCTGTGATTACGAATAATGTTCCTTTAAAGTATTATTAGGTTTTGGAGTCAACACTCGATTGAAATGGATATGCTTATGTGTTGGAGTTATTGTTCCTGTTGGTTTGCTGGCTGGTGCGGCAGTGACAATGGTGGTGTTAGTTCTCAACCAGAAGAAGCAGAAACTTTTTCTTAAGAAAGCTTAAATGATTGGGGTCACCATATAATTGGAACTGTAGCAATCATTACTGGCTCAATCTGACTGGGAGTCCCAACCCTGCCACTAACTTGGTGAGACCTGGGTAAGTCACTTAACGTATCTGTGCCTCAGTTCTCTACAGGATAGGCAAGTTATCCCCATGTGACTGATGCAAAGTCCTTCAAGATCCTTGGATGAAAAGTGCAAAGTATTAGTCATATTACTCCCAGAAAGCATCCCTTTGGAAACCATGAAGAAAAACACAAAACCAAAATAAAAATGAGATGTATCTGTCCTACTGATTTCATGTTGTGCTCCTCCCCTGACTTTGGTATTTCTCATAAAAATATTGTAAATAACTCTTAAATAACCTGGCATGATGATCATCATCATTTTATAAATATTGTCTGTTTTGCAGATACTCTGTGCCTTCTGGCTGGAAAGCATATATGGGCATAAGGATCATTAACAAAAACAGCAATCATGTAGCTATGAGATCAATCAAAAGGATTATTGTCCATCCACGGTATGACCAATATATCTCAGACTATGACATTGCCCTGTTGGAAATGGAGACACCAGTATTCTTCAGTGAGCTGGTACAGCCCATTTGTTTACCCAGCAGTCCTAGAGTATTTTTTTATGGAACTGTCTGCTATGTAACTGGCTGGGGAGCCCTAAAAGAAAATAGTATGTTCATTTCCTGGATATGTTTCTTGCAAGTTTGACTCTAATTTTAAACTGTAAGAGTGAGGTGATTAAACTAAAAACAAATATAATCACGGTTTACTTAGCACAGTGGTTTTCAAACTTTTTGTATTGGTGACCCCTTTCACACAGCAAGCCTCTGACTGTGAAGCCCCTTATAAATTAAAAGCGGGGGTGTGTCTAATTTAATGGGGGTGGGGAAGGTCAGGGCTGTCAACCCCAGGGAGCTGACAGCTCATGACCCCCATGGAACCACCTTGCGACCCGCTGAGCATCCCTGACTTAGTAGGTCTTTTAAAAGCTAGAATATTCCTTCTTTGTCAAAGCAAATTCAGTGGTTTGGCTCAGGCGCAGTTGAACATCTGTGAAGTTTCTTAATGCTGGCATATTGAAATAGTTTAAGTCAATTAGGAGTCCTACCATTAGGCATTGAAGACTGTCATAGGCCATTAGAAAGATAATTACCCTGGATTAGCACTTGTTTCTCACATATACAGCTCATTTAATTTCTACAGTACTTCAGTACAATACTATACAGTATAAAGAATTTATAGATAGAGAAATAGGAAAGAAGTTGAGACTAGCCCAAACTAGGAAGTAGTCTGTGTCTGATTCAGAATTGGAACTCAAGCGCTTCCAGATGGCAGTTTTTTAGTTAATCCCTTAAATTGCATTATGATCTAAGGCGGTGGTGGGCAACCTGCAGCTCATCAGGGTAATCTGCTGGTGGGCTGCGAGACAGTTTGTTTACATTGACATTCCGCAGGCACGGCCACCCACAGCTCCCAGTGGTCGCAGTTTGCTGGGCCACGGGACATGCTGGTCGCTGCTTCCCACAGCTCCCATTGGCTGGGAGTTGTGAACCGCAGCCACTGGGAGCTGTGGGTGGCCGTGCCTGCGGAATGTCAATGTAAACAAACTGTCTCGTGGCCCTCCAGCAGTTTACCCTGATGGGCTGCAGGTTGCCCACCACTAATCTAAGGTTTTACATTTGACCCAAATTTATCTTCTGGGGTATCTTTGGCTTTCTTAACATACTTTTCATCTAACATCTGAACCCAGGACTATGATTATTTATGCCTAAATATACTTTAAGTGAAGTTATAATATAAAAAAAATCCATTATACAGTGTCAATTTTTCAATAAAATTGATACATAAAATTTCAACTTAATTTGAAACTGTGAAATTAAAATATTTGAACACCTTCCCCTCTCATAATTTCACTTACCCCCTCCCCCGAAGCCCTAAAAAGGTCCTAAAGACCAGGTTGGTGGTACAAATTGTGGCACAGATGAAAGATACTGATGATGAAACAGTTGTAGCTCAAGCCAGTTTGGTATTCTGTAGGGTGCCAAATTTGGTCTATGGTGCAATTTAGCAATAGCTACTATCATTGGGAGTTATAACTAGTCAAAGCAGGTTTATTTTTATCCACAACCTCCTCCCCGATTCCCTCTCTACTAGGAGTAGCAGCGGGTTGCCAAATAATAGGACCTGAAAGGGGCCTTTGGGTACAATTTCAATACAAATAATAAAGAAATATTAAAAAGCTCAAGTGAGGGCAAAGCATGTAACAAAACCAAAATTTTGGCATGGGTGTCGCGTGTTGTACTGACAATTCCTGCAGATCTCCATGCCATCCTCTGCTTCAAGGTTTGGCTAATCATTATCAAAGGAAGGACTAAGGAAATGCAAGAAGGTAACAATGGCAGAGGGCTGTAAACTTTCCTGTCTTCCTTATATGAAAGCGGCATTAGTAACAGACATTCAAAAGCTGTGCGGAAGGGCAAGTTAAGCTACAGTACATAGTAACCCTTAGGCTCTGTAGATTCTAAACACATTCCTCCCTTCTGATGTATGTGCTTTTTCCTCAGAACTGTAAAACCGGCATATGTTACATTTATATTGTTCTAGGTTACCTTGCCAAAACACTGCAAGAAGCTAAAGTGAAAATAATTAATCAAAGTATTTGCAACAAGCTATATGATGATCTGATTACATCTCGAATGCTGTGTGCTGGAAATCTTAATGGTGGCATTGATGCATGCCAGGTAAAAGTGAAAACTGTAGGAAAACTACCATTATTTAATTCCTTTGTATATCAGGAATGTTTGGTTTTAATGCAGTGATGGAGCACAGTGTTTTGGTAATGTGGTTAATTAGTGACAAGGGAGGTAAGTTTGACAGGCAATACTTGCATCCTTTGAAACATGGGTGGCAGGTGAATTGCGGGCTCGGGGAGGCTAGCTCCTGGCCTGGCCTGCCCCTTCTGCCCAAGGCCCTGCCTCTCCTGCCAAAGCCCAGAGCCTCCTCCCCTCCCCCACCCTGCTCCAGGCCACCCAAGCACGTCCCCTTCCCCCAGTGTGCTGGGTGGGCAATATGGCCCCCTCCCCCAGCCCTGGAGCACTAGGAGGGTGAGTGGGCAGTGCGCCCCAGAGCGCCGGGTGGGCGGGCAGCGCAGCCCCCTCCCCCAGCCCCAGAGTGCAGGCTGCCCCCATTAGTCCCAGTCTGGGGCACCTGCCACAAGGAGAAGAGCCCCCTGCAGCACAGCGTGGGGAAGCAGGAACGGGTCTGGGGTGGAGCATGGATGGGGCCACGCAAGGCTGTCTGGGGAGGCTCAGCCTTCCCCTGCCTTTGATACCCACCTCCCATGCTTCGAAACAAATGCTGCCTTTCAAAACAATAGGTAAGATCCAGTTTGTTGAGATTGTTCTGCCATAAGAGGGCCTCTGTTGGTTTTGGGTGAACAGGGATATAGGGATGAAGGAGTTTGAGTTAGGGTTGTTTATGGAATCTCAATGATAAATTTCTTATTCTTGAACTCATGGGCTAGTCACGGTGGAATTCCCTCTTTTCATCTCTTTCTACTGTCCCTGTACTGCTCTATGACCAGCTGCTTGTTCAATGGGATGTTTGGCAGAAGAGAGGTAAGTCACCATTCATCTTCTTCTCTTCTCCTTTGCATCCCCTTGTTGTTGCCATTGTGTTCTATTTGGGTTTGGCAGAATTAGATTTTCATTTTTTAAAATAATTTTGATGGATTATATTTGTTTGTTTTAAGCATTTTTTATTTTTTATCAATTTTAAATGTTTACACTTAGGGACATTATGGGGAGAGGGTGTCGGAGAATAATTGTGTAATGACAGTAGATACTGAGATTCAAAAAGTTAAAACTTTCTAATAGTTAAAAAACAAATTGTCAGCATCACACATCAAAACACACAAAGTAAACATCCTTAAATCAAACGCTAATACATTCTTTCTTTGCCTATCTGTAAATTTTAATTATTATTGCTGGAAATATTTTTTGTCTGTTTGTGGTGTATATGGTAAAACTGACATTTACCAGCATTCACTAATAAAAATCTAAACCTCCCTAGCCTAGTTCTATTAATTTGCATTCTTCCGTCGTCTTAGTTGTAATGAAATGTTACAACATGAATTGGATGCATAAACAAATGTACAGCCACTGTCCAGAAATAGAAAATATAATAATTTGAGGGAGAAAGTGTCTACTGTCCATATGTTACCTAATCATCTTATTACAGTGCAATGTGTTTATTCTAATGATTGAACTGTATCCTTTGCTTTAGGGTGATTCTGGAGGTCCATTGGCCTGCGTCGGAAAGGGAAATAGATGGTATCTTGCCGGCATTGTCAGCTGGGGTGAAGGATGTGCTCGGCGTAACCGCCCTGGTGTATATACAAAGGTGACAGAGCTTTATGACTGGATTCGTCAGTACACAAACTGATGCGCTTAGAAGAAAACAAAAGTCACCATTTTTACCGGAGTAATCCATGAAATATGTTTTTATGATGATAACATAAGGAAACACTGTAGATGTTTGTGCTGAAGTTCATATATATTTTTTTAAGATCTAAAATTGTTATTAACTTCTCTGCACATTTCAGGAACAGTCTGAACTGAAAGTAACTTTTTCCATCTTCAATGTCTTCATCACCAGAAATGGACAAACAGGGTTGAATGAAGTAAGAATGGATTAGAACCTTGGGCCAAATTCCAGCCAAACCTTATTGGATGTTTGGATAATTCCTTTCCTCTCCTCTCCCCTCCTCTCCAGCCCCAGCACATATAAATACATACATACACTCTCCATATGCAATGTATTGTGGTTTCAGACAGGATCAAGGGCCCACTTCTCACATCTGGTCAAAATACACAAGCTGCCAGTCAGGGCGGTGTGCAAAGGTGGGTTAAAGCTCTCCTTCGCTCATGGTGCTGCTATGCTGCTCCTCCTGGGCTGTGTTTAGAGGAGCCTTCAGGCTGCTCTACCTTAATATGTTTTTTAAGCTGGAAGAGGCCAAAACCATAGCTCTGGTTTGTTGTGATATAGGGGCACCCCAAACTCTCTCCCACTTTGGTAGCCATGATCCCTTTCCTTGTTAAGTTAGCAGCAGGGAGGGTGTTTGGCGTTCAAGACAAAAGATAACACTAAGCTGTGTGCCAATGTTCGATTCTCATGATCCTCCCTGGGCTGGTTAAGACAAGCATACAGGGGGGCTGGAACAATTTTTATAGTGGGGGTGCTGAGAGTTCTTGAACCAAACTGTAGACCATGTATATAATGGAAACCACTTCAATCCGGGGGTTGTGGCAGCACCCCACTATCCCTAGTGCCAGCACCTATGCAAACATGTGATCAAATTCCATCAGTAGTGTAGCACAAATCAGTCCCATTAAACCTGAAGATCTGGCCCTAAACTTGCAAGGACTGAAATACCATTATTGGTGTCTTCGGAGTGATGGTATTTTAGAACAGGAGAAAATGCTGAGTTTATTAAGAGGAGCTCAATTCAGTTAATCTAAAGGAAACTGCACTTATTAGATGGAGAGAGAATTCTTTTTCAGTCTGGTACAAACAAAACTTCACATGCCCAAGCTCCCTGGCTGCTATCAAATGTTAAACTATATAATCACAACACATTGCTGATTATACTTTGTGGGAACAAACCTGTTGCTAGCTACTTATAGTAATAGACTTATTCAAATTAACTCTTTCGTGGGTGTCAGACTGCAATAAGAGTGTCATCTTGAATTATCTCCTACACAAAGAAAGACAGGAACTTGATCATATGATATTCCAAACCAAAAAGATTGGAGTACATTTTAATAGGAATCTATACTTTTTGGATGATTATCTTGTAGTCAAAACAGCTTGAGGTTCACCTGGATCTATAGTAGTTATTAGGCTGTAATTATTCTATCTGCTTAGGGCTGTAGTACACCCAACCTCTAAGGTACTAGTAGTGTGTCAGAGATACTGCAACTGGGAGGTTTCAGAGTAGCAGCCGTGTTAGTCTGTATCTGCAAAAAGAACACACACTTCTTATTAAACTGTCTGTACTGGGCTATCTTGATTATCACTTCAAAAGTTTTTTTTTCTCTTACTCAATTGGCCTCTCAGAGTTGGTAAGACAACTCCCACCTGTTCATGCTCTCTGTATGTGTGTATATATATCTCCTCAATATTTATTCCACTCTATATGCATCCAAAGAAGTGGGCTGTAGTCCACGAAAGCTTATGCTCTAATAAATTTGTTAGTCTCTAAGGTGCCACAAGTACTCCTGTTCTTTTTGCAACTGGGAGGTAAGGCATGAGGTGCTTCAGTTGCTAGGCCTTGTGCTAGCCCTGGTGTGTCCCAGTAACCCCACAGACACTCGGAGAAAGGAAAGGGGCATTTTACTAGGTCTGGCAGGAGAGGGAAAGGTTGCAAATACCCTAGGTACAGTGGCTTAAACTGTTAGAGCTCAAAGTGAAACAATAGTGGTTCTTATTTGGGCCCACTAAACAGCTTTTCAGACCTAGTGCCTAAGGTGCTTTCTCCAGTCTAGTTGTCTATTAAAAGCTAATAAGACTGTGCAGATTTCCTGGCCTGGATCAGTTAGTGGTGTGGCTCATTAGAACCCCTTTATGTTGGCTCCCTGCCCAGTCTCTGCTGCATCCACACATACCTGAACCTGGCTGCAATGTCCATCAGTCACTGTTCCATATGTGGTTGCCCAGCTCCTGCTGCAGCCTGCTCTGAACACAGTTACCTGGAAGTTTCCCTGTGCAATCAGCTTCTCTGCTGCTCCATTTCCCCAAGTGCCAGGTTACTTCGTGGGTCATGGTTTCTGCCCCTTTTCCTTACTGGCCAGCAGAAGGGGATGAGCCTGAATGTCCATCCCAGAGGGTCATAGATCAGTGGAGAAGGGGTTCCTGCTTAGCAGATTGATCACAAGAGTTTTTCTCCTTGCTTGGTATCAGTAGATAGATCCAGATTGAGACTTCCAAAGCTGTCTAGGGGATTTAAAGCACCTGTATCATTAAAATTAATGGAAGATCTATCTAACCCCGCTAGACAGCTTTAATGGTCTCCCCTTCAATAGCTTGTAGTTTTAGGTTTTCAGACCTGAGGTAACATGATGATGGCAGTTGGCGACTTGGATGCCACTCCCTGCCACACTCACAAACACACAGCTTGGTTATGTTACATGAACGTGCCCCTCACAGTGTGGCCAGAATCTTGTGATTTTTTTTTTCTTTGTCATGAGTGATAGGATTTTGGCTGGTCTGGGCCAGTCTCATAATGATGCAAGTAGTCCAAGTCCTTTAGTGTATTTGAGCCCTCTGATTGGTTATTTTTCCCCAGGAGGTGGGCAAATGGGGCAGGCTGCCACAGGAAGAGCGCTGTCTCCTCCTCCTCCCCTCTGCAGCAATCCAAAGCCATCCTCATAAGAGGGGCATGGGGAGGAGGTATCAGAAAGAGCCCAGCAGCTCAGGACAACTCCACTGCTCTGCCCTCCTCCCCTCTGCAGCACCTGGCCTTGGGGCATGGAAAGGAGCAGCAGGGGTGGGGAGGCTGAAGAGCCCTGGGGCTGCCCTCCAGCCTGAAAGTGGGAAAGGGGACCCCTTTGCAGCCCCCCCCACCCACACACACACACCTGGGAGACGGGGATGAAGAACCCCGGAGTAGCAGAGGGGAGGCCGAGTTGCACTGATGTGGGAGTTAAGGGCGGGGGCTACCAGTGACTGAACTGATACAGGGATTGAGGGGACAGGAGTGATTCAGAGGCTGGGAGCAGAATGAATTGCTGGGCAGGGGATGGGCTGATGTGGGGATGAGAGCTTCAGCAATGGCCAAAATCTACTTATCTAATAAATTTGGGAGAGTGGGGCCCAGTAATTGTGGCTCTCTCTTGGGGGTGGGGGAGCATTCAAAAATCAAGACTGAAACCACTATGTAATTTTTTTTTTTACCCTCATATTTTGAGTCTAACTCATGATTTGTAATCTCTCGAGGTTGGCAATACTACCCTCACTTATTTTTAGCTCACTTTCGTAGGCTGACTCATTGTACAGTACATCGGGGAAGGCGTTCTGTAAATTACACGTAGATACAGGAATTAATTTTATTGTTGTTTTCATGTTACATAATTCATGTATTTAAGACTCATTTTTAAATATAATTCTCTCATTAAAATGTGTGGTACTTTCTCCAGGTTTTTAATGGAATGTAAAAGCACTGTCTATTCTAAACTCTAAAGATATTAAAATTCTAAAAGTATTTTACTAATGTACTGGTGTTTCTTGAATAGTGGTGACTAAGTATTTACTAGCTTGGCGGCGCTACTGAAATAAAGTAATTCACTCTGAACTCTTGGTATGCTTAGAATTGCAGTCACAGCTTGTAAGCTGTAGATGAGTTAAAATCAACTGACGTTTCCTCTTTATTTTAAATAAAGTTGAACTGTGAAGCACTTAAACCTGCCAAGGTTTGAGTTTGTTTCTACTCCATGTATTGATAAGACTGTGAATATCGTCACCAGAGAAGGACGTTGCATTCCTAGAATTTTAGATTAAATGTGAGCCTTGGCCACAAAGTTCAGATCTAGCTCTCAAATTCCCTTACGCTAGGGGTGTGTGGTCTCAACACCGGGGTTTTAGTTCTGCCCATTATATATAACGTGTGTGTATATGAGAGAGAGGTAAACCACGAAGTACGCATTTGGGTGCACACTTCAGGAGTTAGTGTGCAGGCCTCATTTATTAGTTGTGAATGAACTAACGTTGGCCTTGACAGGTAAGTGAAATAGGAATACAATTTTCATAAAGCTTACACAAGGTTAATGATTGCAGATCTTAACGTCTGAAAATGTATTGTTGACTCTTCCTATTTTTCTAAGAACTGATGGCTTAAGAGTGAAAGGAGCTTATATCCATCAGGAATATTCTGAGACCTCTCCAGGAGCCTCTGGGTCAGGCGATCATTACATGAAACAAAGCCATGAACCCAGGTGCCTGAGTTTTAGGGTAGTTCAGAACTGAACTTGACAACTCAGACGTACTTTGTCTACTGAGCTTTTTGGTTTCTTTTCTTTGGGAAAAGTGCTGTATAAATGTAAGCTTGCTTTCGTTCCTTTGTATTGTACAGGTATAGTGGTATTCAGACATGTGACAGGGGGATTGCTTGCTTGCCCTGTCGGAAAACACCATCTTCTCTTCTGAGACAAAGATAGATTGCTTCATCTGCTGAGTTTGTTGCTTTAGCAAGCACCATGTTGCTTGTGCTGGCTAAGGGCTGGTGTAGTAAGGTAACCAAACTGGAAAATCTAGTATGACACAGCTTGAGAATGAACATTTTGTGTTTCAAAAGTGCAGGCAAATCAATACTTCCGCCTCATCCTATTTCTTTTTCAGAGGATACAGTCCCAGTCCACTCCCCGCTCCATGGAATTTCCCTTGTTTACCCAACTTGCTGAGATCACTTGCTTGTAAATTATGTGGACCCTGGCTGCTGACGTCTCAAATCTTGACCCTGAGCTGACACCAACACAGCAGAAACGGGAAGGAAGTGAGTCTTGTCAGTATTTGCCTTCAAATAAAAATTTCTCACAGAAGTGGAAGCAATGAATGGCCATGTTCCTGAACGTGAATGTCAGGCTATTGAATTACAAGGTGGGAGAGAACTTGAGGAGGAAAATGAGGCAGACCATAATAAACCTCTTAATCCTGAAGCATCCATGACAAAAAAGGTAGGACTCACTTTCTACTTCATTCACTTTCTACTTATAAGCATGTTACCTAAACATTGTACAGTGATTGAAATAACTGAGGAGCATTCTGGTGGAATAAGTTGCTTTATTGTAAAATTTATTTTATGTCTTTGTTGTTGTTGTTTGTTGACTTATAGTTAAATGTCAGAAATACTAAGGTTAAATGCAGATTTCTTTTCCTCTGCTGTTAATGACATCTGACTGAAACAGAATATTTAAAATCTAACTCATTTGCCATTTTTAATACTGTTTGTTCATTAGCATTCATTCCAAAATGAAATCACACTTGTAATTTTAGGAGTTTCGCTTTCAGTTTGTCATGATATCAGTATTGCAATGGGTGAATTCCCAGTCACTAAAGGGAGATGTTAAAATCCAAATTAAAAAGGTTTTCATTTGGAAAAGAATTAAAATGCCAGGAAAACACTACTGCTAGTATTAGGATTTGTTTCCTTTTTAAAAAGTTTGTCCCTTCCCACAATCTAACCTTTGGGCCAAAACTATTTAGCACTTCTCCTTTAATGTACAAGTAAGTGTGTAGTGTGATCAAAGGAAGCAACAGTAGATATAAATTTTGTATCCTAGATTATTAACATCAGCCGACAATATCCCTCTACTGGTATTGTAAACTTCTTTAACTTTGCTAAAACGAGAATAGGCTTGTTAATAACAATGCTCGTAACTTGTGAGTGGGAACGATTATTAATTTGTATGATGAGCATGTTACACATACACATGGTAAGATGACGCCTGCCCCAAATACACGAAAAGAAGTATCACCAGTCTACTGATGGAGAATTCAGATGCAGTAACATTCAGTGGTTTGCCCAAGACCACAAAGGAAGTCTGTGGCAAAGCCAAACATTTAATCCAGTTTCCTAAAACCCAATCTAGGGATTTACCCACCAGACACTTGTGGTTAGTTTTTGTTTAGATATGTGTGTCTGTCTGCACTGGCAAATCAGGCTCTTAGCTATTGAAGTGATCTAAAGTGTGCTTGAAAAGTATCTTCAACGCGGTTTCTCCCAATTTCTTCTTCTGCCTCACTCCTATCACCCAGTAATCAACACCACAGCACTGCCCAACCTGACTGTAAAACTATTCATTGTTTTCAGTAGCTACCTTTCCCCTGAGCTCTGTGACATATTGATTTTTCTTATCTAAGTAAAGAGGGTGTTGGTTCAGTTCTAGGGAGGAATCACAGATTTGAATGTGTACTTTACATCAAGTCAGTTGACACTTCTTTAATAGAGGCAGCACTCTGTATTGGTCTGAGCACAAGGCTGGAAACCTGAGCTGAAATCCAGGCCTTCATGTCCGTAGCCTTGGGCAAATGTCTGCCTCTGTTTCCTTACCCATGAAATGGGTATTGTGCCTTCTGACTACACAGGAGTGTTGTGAGAGATAACGTGATGCACTAGTGTCAAGCATTAAATTAAAAGCTAGAAAATTCCTGTTTCTTTTTTTCACACAACATTCCTATTAATTTCACTATAAACCTCGTGTGTTTAAATATCCAAACAAAACATCCTACACATGTGCTTTACTCACTGTCTTCTTTGCCCGCCTCCTGCAATCTACCCCAAAAAGTGAAAACCTAAATGTACAATAATCAAATGGTTCTTGTCTGTCTCTTCATATTTTCTTCATTTTTTTTAAACGTAGACACCAACACCTTAACATTAGCAGTGCCCTAGTTAACAATGTAAGTGAATTCTTCTTCACTCCCCAATCCAAAAAACAAAAATAACCCCCTCAAAACTTCTTTCTGCCATTTGCTATGAGTGCTTGCATATAAGGGCTATGTGGACTGATATTATTAACTTCATAGGTGTGGATGTTTTTGTAAACTTTTCCATGAATACTTTTAACATCCTGAGGAATCTATAAACTTCATAAACCAAATGGTCTGGTCCAAGAAACTTTGAAACTACGCTTGGTATTACAGTATAAATGTTTTAGTTTTGATTCGAGAATAGGAAGTTTGTAAGTGCAGCCTGCCAGTTTGGGTTCAAAAGTTCCACATTCTGCACTGAATGAAACTCCATACATAAATGTAATCCCCTTGAAGAACTGTGTACCATTAGGAAGATGTCCTGTTACCCAGGTACTGTTATCTGCAGGTAGCTTGCAAGGTCTGGAGGGGCAGCCTGCTCCTTACTAAGTGTCACACATTCCTGGGTAGCCTGTCCCTGGTGAGATCCTTTTCCAGTCACCCGATTGAACCCCTTTCAAGGAGTAGGCCTATCCCTCTACTTCTCTTTGTGTATGCCTCACTGAGTCTTTAGGTTATAGCCCCTAACTAATTCAACAGGTCATAGTCATAGAGTTTAAGGCCAGTAGGGTCCACCAGATCATCTAGTCTGGCCTCCTGTATATCATCAACACCACCCAGGCCAAGAACACCACCCAGGACCCCTCCCCCCCCCCCCCGCATTAAATGCAACAATTAAAACTAGACCAATGTGTGTCAGCCCACAGAAAACTATTATGTTCCAGAGGCAGAGAATAGGAGGGACCCAATATGCACAAGTGCCCAATGCCCCTGCAATGGCAGGGAAATGATTAAGTGAGATTTAGCTAGATAATCCTGATGACTAACCCTCACCCACGCACTGCAGAGGAAGGTGAAAAAATCTGAAGGTCACTGCCAATCTGACCTGGGGGAAAACCTGAGCTGCCAGTTTTGGGAGTCTGACACAGCATGCATTGGCAGTGCTACAGAAACAACGTCTTGCACAAAAGGCATAATTTATTTTGCTCAGAAGATACATAGCACTTAAAGAGGTGGAGTTAAAACAAGAAATGTGCACACCTATTCCCTCACCTACACTTAACCTCTTTATCCGCAGCTTAGGCATGTCTCATTCCCCATCTCTGAGTTGGGAGAAACAGCTGACTGCTTGCAGCCCTCTCCCTTTGTCTGTGTATGTGTCTGTCCAGGCTATCAGGTTTTTCACTCACACATAAGCATATAAGAATGGCCATATGGTAAGACCAATGGTTGAAAGGGAATGATCAGAACAGGGCAATTAGTGAGTGATCCATCATCCAGGCCTAATTTCTGGCAGTCAGAGGCTTAGGGACATCCAGCGCATGGGGTTGCATCCCCATTGATGGACCTATCCTCCAGAACTTTAATTCTTTTTTGATCCCTGTTATAATTTTTGCCTTCACAGCATTGCCCAGCAGTGAGTTCCACAGGTTGATTGTGCATTATGTAAAGAAGTACTCCCTTCTGTTTGTTTTAAATCTGCTGTGCATTAATTTCATAGGGTGACCTCTGGTTCTTGTGTTATGTATTTATGTAAATAAAACTTCCTTCTTTTCTTTCTCCACACCATTCATGATTTTATAGACCTTTATCATATCCCCCTTTAGTCATCTTTTTTTCTAAGCTGAACAGTCCGTCTTTTTTTCATCTCAGCACATATGGAAGCTGTCCCGTATCCATAAACATTTGTTGCCCTTCTCTGTACTTGTCATAACTATAAAGGGGAGGGTAACAGCCCTCCTGTGTACAGTACTATAAAATCCCTCCTGGCCAGAGACCCCAAAATCCTTTTACCTGTAAAGGGTTAAGAAGCTCAGATAACCTGGCTGACACCTGACCCAAAGGACCAAGATACTTTCAAATCTTGGTGGGGGGAAGGCTTTTGTTTGTGCTCTTTGTTTTGGGGGTTGTTCTCTCTTGGGACTGAGAGGGACCAGACATCAGTCCAGGCTCTCCAAATCTTTCTGAACAAGTCTCTCATATTTCAAACTTGTAAGTAAACAGCCAGGCAAGGCGTGTTAGTTTTTATCTTTGTTTTCTCAACTTGTAAATGTACCTTTTTGCTAGAGTGTTTCTCTGTTTGCTGTAACTTTGAATCTAAGGCTAGAGGGGATTCCTCTGGGCTCTTTAAGTTTGATTACCCTGTAAAGTTATTTTCCATCCTGATTTTACAGAGATGATTTTTACCTTTTTTCTTTAATTAAAAGCCTTCTTTTTAAGAACTTGACTGATTTTTCCTTGTTTTTAGATCCAAGGGGGTTGGATCTTGATCCACCAGGAGTTGGTGGGAGAAAGGAGGGGGATGGTTAATTTCTCCTTGTTTTAAGACCCAAGGGGTTTGGATCTGTATTCACCAGGGAATTGGTGAAGAGTCTCTCAAGGCTACCCAGGGAAGGGAATTAGCACTTTGGGAGTGGTGGCAGCAGACCAGATCTAAGCTGGTAGTTAAGCTTAGAACTTTTCATGCAAGCCCCCACATTTGTACCCTAAAGTTCAGAGTGGGGAAGCAGCCTTGATGTACTTTTTCCAATTCTAATATATCTTTTTTGAGATGGGGCAACCAGAACTGCATGCAGTATTCAAGTATTCATATATCTTGGCTGTTTTCTCGGCTCACCCCTTCTATATAGTCCATGAGCTGTTTGAATCTTCTTTGATTCTAGACTTAGCCTTGGGAGAAGTAAAACATTTTGGCCTGGATGGAGCCAGCTAAGTAACTTTGCCATTCAATTGATGGCCCATCCATTATTATCTTAACTTGTTTAAAGCTGGGTACCTGAAGGGCAGTCTTAGAATCATAGAAGATTAGGGTTGGAAGAGACCTCAGGAAGTCATCTAGTCCAACCCCCTGCTCAAAGAAGGACCAACCCCAACTAAATCATCCCACCCAGGGCTTTGTCAAGACGGGCCTTAAAAACTTCTAAGGATGGAGATTCCACCACCTCCTTAGGTAACCCATTCCAGTGCTTTACCACCCTCCTAGCAAAATAGTTTTTCCTAATATGCAACCTAGACCTCCCTCACTGCAACTTGAGACCATTATTCCTTGTTCTGTCATCTGGTACCACTGAGAACAGCCGAGCTCCATCCTCTTTGGAACCCCCCTTTAAGTGGTTGAAGGCTGCTATCAAATCCCCCCTCACTCTTCTATTCTGCAGACTAAACAAGCCCAGTTCCCTCAGCCTCTCCTCGTAAGTCATGTGCCCCAGCTCCCTAATCATTTTTGTTGCCCTCCGCTGGACTCTCTCCAATTTGTCCACATCCTTTCTGTAGTGGGGGCCCCAAAACTGGATGCAGTACTCCAGATGTGGCCTCACCAGTGCCGAATAGAGGGGAATAATCACTTCCCTCGATCTGCTGGCAATGCTCCTACTAATGCAGCCCAATATGACATTAGCCTTCTTGGCAACAAGGGCACACTGTTGACTCATATGCAGCTTCTCATCCACTGTAACCTCTAGGTCCTTTTCTGCAGAACTGCCGCTTAGCCAATCGGTCCCCAGCCTGTAGCAGTGCATGGGATTCTTCCATCCTAAGTGCAGGACTCTGCACTTGTCCTTGTTGAACCTCATCCAGGTTCATGAAGATTTCTTTTGGCCCAGTCCTCCAATTTGTCTAGGTCACTCTGAACCCTATTCCTACCCTACAACATATCTACCTCTCCCCCCAGCTTAGTGTCATCCGTGAACTTGCTGAGGGTGCAATCCATCCCATCATCCAGATCATTAATGAAGATGTTGAACAAAACTGGCCCCAGGACCGACCCCTGGGGCACTCTGGTTGCTACCGGCTGCCAACTAGACATTGAGCCATTGATTGCTACCCATTGAGCCTGACGATTTAACCAGCTTTTTATCCACCTTGTAGTCCATTCATCCAATCCATACTTTTTTAACTTGCTGGCAAGAATACTGTGGGAGAGCGTATCAAAAGCTTTGCTAAAGTCAAAATATATCACGTCCACTGCTTTCCCCATATCCACAGAGCCAGTTTATCTCATCATAGAAGGCAATCAGGTTGGTCATGCATGACTTGCCCTTGGTGAATCCATGTTGACTGTTCCTGATCACCTTTCCCTCCTCCAAGTGCTTCAAAATGGTTTTCTTGAGGACCTGCTCCATGATTTTTCCAGGGACTGAGGTGAGGCTGACCGGGCTGTAGTTCCCCGGATTCTCCTTCTTCCCTTTTTTAAAGATGGGCACTATATTTGCCTTTTTCCAATTGTCCGGGACCTCCCCCAATCAACACAATTTTCAAAGATAATGGCCAATGACTCTGCAATCACATCAGCCAACTCCCTCAGGTGCATTAGATCCGGGCCCATGGACTTGTGCATTTCCAGCTTCTCTAAATAATCCTTAACCTGTTCTTTCACTACTGAATGCTGTTCACTTCCTCCCCATATTGTGCTGCCCAGTGCAGCAGTCTGGGAGCTGATCTTGTCTGTGAAGACGAAGGCAAAAAAAGCATAGAGTACTTCAGCTTTTTCCGCATCATCTGTCACTAGGTTACCTCCCCCATTCAGGGTCCCACACTTTCCCTGACCACCTTCTTGTTGCTAAAATACCTGTAGAAACCCTTCTTGTTACCCTTCACATCCCTTGCTAACTGCAACTACAGTTGTGCTTTGGCCTTCCTGATTACACTCCTGCGAGCTCGAACAATATTTTTATACTCCTCCCTAGTCATCTGTCCAAGTTTCTGCTTCTTGTAAACTTCCTTTTTGTGTTTAAGCTCACCGAAGATTTCCCTGTTAAGCCAAGCTGGTCACCTGCCACATTTGCTATTCTTTCTGCACATCTGGATGGTTTATTCCTGTGCCCTCAATAAGGCTTCTTTAAAATACAGCCAGCTCTCCTGGATTCCTTTCCCCCTCATATTAGCCTCCCAGGGGATCCTGCCCATCAGTTCCCTGAGGGCTTTTCTGAAGTCCAGGGTCTGTATTCTGCTGCACTCTTACATATGTCATTGTTTTACCTTTCTTACTGAGTTCTGTAACAGCCCCTTGACAGCCTCCCTTGCCTAAGCTCTGTACATTCAGTCAGGCCCCAATAAATAACTGATCAGGGAAATGGAATCGCACATAATATTCATGAATAGTATATTTTTCCAGTTCTTCTCACTAAGAACAGAGACCCGTCCTGCAGACGTTGTAAGCTCCATTAAGCAGGTTACAAGGTCTGCAAGATCTAAGCTCCATGTTGACTTCTGAGAACCACTCATGAGACTCTAGATACTTAAGCTTTTTTGCACAGGTTCAAGAAACTTGGCTCTTGTCTAGATACTAAATTTGCACCAGGTTAATTAAACTGGGTTAGTTAAACTGGTGAAAATCCCTTGTGTGTAGAGACTTTGGTTTAAGACGTGGCTTATTTTGGTTTATCTTAAACCTATTCCTAATTGATTTAAGTTTAGTGAAAGTACGTCTGATTGATTGAAACCTCAATAAGTGTGTTCACACATTTTTTTGCACCAGTTTAGAAGTATCAGTTTAAAATTATATCTTAAACTGAAGAGGTGCAACTGTGCCTGGAATCAAGCCCTTCCAAATAATATGGACACTCATCTCCAAGGAGAAACTCATTTGCTAGTCAACCAAATTATACACAATCACTTGGTTTCATTACTGAGTTAAAATTGCATCATTTCTACAGTCTTCATTTATCAGAGCAGATTGATTCAGAAGTAGACAAGGTTTTACTTCTAACTCTACCACTTTGTGACCTTAGGCAAGTCAATTTACCTACTGATATTAATTATAACTAATGTTGGTTTAATTAAAGTGATGTGATACTAATGCTTCTGAAAGTATTTTGATACCCTTGAATTAAAAGCACAGTAAAAATGCAATATATCTCCTGTCTTTATATAGATTTTTTTTTATTATTTATCCTAAAGATAAAGAAAAACTCTTTTTCTCCCCTTTTCCATCCTAGTTTCTTAACAGACATCTTCTTTTATTCTTTGTATGACTAGGAGAGAGCCTACTACTGGAGGTCTTGTGGAGACACAATTTTTTGGAAATGTAAACTGTGGATGGTTATATCTTCAGTTTTCCTAGGGCTCCTTCTAGTGATTATTATCAGCTTAATTCTTTATTCAGGTACGTACTTTACTTTTGATAGTGTGTTTTTCTTTTAGATGCATGCTGCAGCCTGTCTGGAGTTTGGCTGTTGAGTTTTGTCATGGAGGTGGTTTATAATATGTGCTGGGTTGAGCAGTCGAGTATTCGGTGGATTTGAGGAATTTTCTTCTTGGGCATGTTTTAACTAGTACTGATTTTCAGTTAAGGCACCTAGAGATCTTAAGGGGCTGATGCCTGTACATTTAAATCTATTACTCTTCTTTCTGTTAAACTATATCTACTTGGTAGCTTGCCTTTAAGATAATTGTTGCTTGAATCCAATGGCAACATGCCCATTGATTTGAATAGGGGTATGTCAAGGTTGTTAATATAACTAAGTCTGGAAAAAAGGTTCTCATATTGTTATACTCTGGGCCTTTTCTTAAGCTAAAATCCTCTGATGGCCAGCTCCCCAGCCTGATCCAATATCTTCCCTATGGCAATTACAGAGCATGGTTACATGAGAAAATAATACTAGGACAAGGTCAAAGAGACAAGAAGAAAATCATACTTGTGTCAATGCAATGAATGCAGCCAGACTGGTGTTATCCTGATATTTTGTATTGGTGCAATTCATTAGCTTTGCCTGGGGGTCAGACTTCCTAATAATAGTCAGAGTGGTGTGTGCACCCACAACTGCTCAAATTTCTTTGGCTAACTTACGTGTTGCGCCTGTCAGCCTGTAACCCTCCAGTTTTCACTGGGGCTAAATTTACATTTTAGAAACACCTGACAAAGCAGTCATAGGGGCTGCTTCGAGGCACAAGTTTCTTTGAGTTCAGCTAGTCAAAATGTCCCTGGAAATAGGTCTGGGCTACATATGGCAGGAAGGATTTTATGTGAGCACTAACAAAGACATCTCCACTCTGATAGTGTCCGTTTGATAGCCCCCCTGGCATGTTCTGTTGACCATGCTTTGAGAGCTGCTCATTGTTGGATGATTCTGAACTTTTTCTATCTGTAACAGCCAATTGGGAACATGCTCTTTCATTTTTTGGTATTACAGAGGTTTACATAGATGAAGATGAATATTGGGATCCTGAATCAGTATCAAGTGGAAATTATCGCAATTTTTCTGGAAGACTACAAATAAAGTGTGCTGCTCAATCAAATTATTCTGAAGATCTTACTAAGAGGGTAATTATGACAGAGCTTTCACCATAGCTGATTCTGACCATAACACCTATTTGGTGTTCCTTTGAATATGACTCATATTCAAAGGAATATGAGTCAAAGGCAGGGCTGCCCAGAGAATTCAGGGGGCCTGGGGCAAAGCAATTTCGGGGGCCCCTTCCATAAAAAAAAGTTGCAGTACTTAAGAATACTATATTCTCATGGGGGCCCCTGCGAGGCCCGGGGCCTGGGGCAAATTGCCCGCCCCTCCCTCCCCCGGGCGGCCCTATGTCAAAGGGTTCTCAATTTTATTTGTGGGAGGAAGAGTTGATTCAGAAAAGTATGAGTGATAGTTGGGAATTGTTTAAGAACACTTTACTACGTGCTCAAAATGCCACAATCCTACGATTGAGGAAGAAGCCATACTGGTTAAAAAACTGACTTGGTTTAGCAGGGAAGTGAAAGCAGCTGTAAAAAAATGTATAACATGGAATAAAGAGGAAGTTGATATTAATGACTCAAACTGTGAATTATAGAAAAATCATAAAGGAAGCAAAGGGACACAAGAAGATATCTATGGCTCGCATAATTAAGCACAAGAAAGAGTTTTTTTAAAGAATATTAGGAAGAAAAGAATCCAAACACTGGTATTGATCCATTACTAGATGGAAATGGTAGAATTATCAATAATAATGCAGAAAAGATAGAAGTGTATTTGGAGGGAAAACAAATGAATGTACTTACCATATGATGATATTCTTTCCATTCCACTAGTATCTTGGAGAATGGTAAATGGCAGCTACTAAAATTAGACACTTTTAAATCAGCAAGGCCAGTGACAGAAAAACAGAGAAAAGTGTAACATGATCCAATGGCTGGAAGGTGAAGCTAGACAAATTCAGACTGGAAATAAGTCATACATGTTTAACAGGGACATTATAACGGTGCAACGACTCACCACTGCGGCGCCGCCTGATGGTTGTCCAGGGAATTAGCTCTCCAACCTCCGGAGCGCCCTCTGCAGGCCAGTGTCCTGCTTGCTGCTGGCCCCGGTGTCCCTCCCGGACCTCAGGGTTCCGCTCCGTGCAGTACCCCACAGTCTCGCTGGGTCTCCCCTCCCCTGGGAACCTCCAACCCCCTATCCCCACCTCACCTCAGTCTTGCCTACTGCCAGTCACCATCTAGCCCCCGCTCACTAGGGAAGACTACAGTATAATTGCCACTCATCATCGGCAAGGAGGGTTTGGACCTGCTGCCTCTGCCTACCCTTGGGCTGCCCCTCTGCAACCCCCGTACCTTTCTTGGCCTTCAACAAGGCCTGCAGCCTGGGGGTTTTCCAAGCCAGAGCTCCCCAGCTCCTCTGGCCTTTCCCCAGCTCTGCTCCCTTTAGATACCCTGCTCATCTCCCAGCAGCCAGGCCCATCCCTCTCAGCATCTAGAGAGAGACTCTTGAGCTCTGGTTAGCAGCCCTTTTATAGGGCCAGCTGCGGCGTGATTGGGATGTGGCCCCAGCTGAGGCTGCTTCCCCAATCAGCCTTTCCCCAGGCACAGCCCTCTCCAGGACTGTTTTTAACCCTTCCGGGCAGGAGCAGGGTGAGCACCCCGCTATAGACAGTAATTAGCCATTGGCACCATTTACCAAGGCTCATGGTGGGTTCTCCGTCACTGTGAAATTTTAAAATCAAAATTGGATGCTTTTCTAAAAGATATGCTCTAGGAATTTTGAGGAAGTCCTATGGCCTGTGTTATGCAGGAGGTCAGATTAGATGGTCACAGTGGTCTCCTGTGGATTTGGAATATGACTCTTTCTAGATGATGTAAGGCCCTGATCCAACAAAGCACTAGCATAACTTTAAGCACGAGAAGTCTCATTGACTTAAAAGTTACACATGCGTTGAAGTGCTTTTGCTGGATTGTTGCCTAAATTAGAGCTATGTTGTAGAGTGTGGATCACACTTACACTAAAACATCCTTGTTAAATTCTCTTGTAAGTGTCTAAGGCCTCACAAGTTGGGTTTATTGTTGTTTGTTCCCACTTATCTACTACTCAAAACTATCTGGTAAACACACAAAACTGTTGTATAAAAATAGGAGTAAGAATGCTACTCAGACTTATTGCAGAAGGGGATGCGATTTATGTAGAAGGAAAATTTTTATACAATTTTAACTACTTACTGTTTCTAATCAATAATTAAATTATAGATGGCAGCATGAGTCGATATTTATAGTCTTAATCTTTGCAGAATATCTCCATTGGGTCAAGGCAACACAATGATCATCCTACACACAGGTTTACTTGGCTATCTTGCTCACTGAGACTCTATTTATTGTCAATGGTATCTCAGTAGGATATGCACAATCTTTCACTCTCCACCACTTTTCCTAGAGGCTTCTTAGGCAATAATGATTTTTCTGCCTGGGGCTCTCACTGGTAATTTCTAGTTCAACCCATACAGCCAGTCACACCCTGGCCCTGGTCTTCAGGTTGGATGTCAATATCAAGGACATCACAATCCATCACCTCATTAAGGTGGTAGTAGTCAGATGTCTCTAAGCTCTCAGATAACAAGAAAGACAAATGAAGGCTCTGAGTCCACCAAATTCCAAAGTCCGTTAAAAGATGGCTTGAGAAGCTAGGATCAGTTTTGCCTGGCTGGTCTGACATTGCTTATTACTATCAAGGGAGCAGCATCACCTACTTTCCTATCCTGATTTTTAGTTCCGTCAATGCAAAGGATAAGTAGAGATTGTTGAGGTCCCCACTTTAAGATCAATCCCTAGTGATTTTTCCAGATAAACAGAAAAGTATTATGTATTTTTTTTAAAAAAACCTAAATTGGCACAGAGAAAATAAACTGAAATTGAAATCCCAATGAGAGCGGAAACTGATTTTTACCATTAGATTTTAAAATAAAATGAATTCCTTGTACAGATATCTGCCAGGACTTGACCTGAAGATTCTGTACACTTCCCCCATTCTGAAAACTTAAATTACCCTTTTTTCTTCTACTTGTGTTGGAAGGTATGCCATGAAAGAAATATTTGATTCTCTTTTCAAGCTAATAGATGTCTACAGTTCATCTCCAGCCCTGGGGCGCTATTTTATCACTGCTCAAGTGGATTCCTTCAGGTAGGAAATTAATGTAAGAATTTTCTTTAAGTGTGTGTTTAGCAGAATTGAATCCCTCACATAGACATACAAAACATTCTAAAACTCTGAAATAATCTTTCTCAGCAGAAATACCAGTACAATCAGTGAAGTTATGTTTCCACCAAAATTAACCAATTACATTTGTAAAAGATAAGTTGCCTCCCAGTAGAACATGTTGTTAAGTTATCGGAAATCTTTAAGTATTGTCCATATGCTCAGTCCTTGATGGTCTCAACTGCTAGCTTTATCAAGCTTGTTGAAGTGAGAAAACTGGAATTGCTTCAGAGCAACTTTGCTTAAATATATATTTTAGGCCCAGATATTTCAAAGGTATTTAGGTATTGCTGCGCTCAGTGTTGCAACACCTAACTGAGTCTAAATCTCATTTTCTGAAGCAATTTAGGCATTTAGGATTTTAGGCAATGGGATTTGGGCACCTAAATCTCTTTTGAAAATGAGATTTAGGCTCCTAAATCAGTTACGCATTGCAATGAGCGAAGCATTGCCTAAATACCTTTTTAAAAATCGGGTCGCAGTGCCCAAAAGCCTGGTAGGTGTTTTCGTAAATGAGAGGTATGTGCTCTAAAGGACCTAAAGCCAACCTAGATACACATCAGCAACAAGAAAATCACACTTGATTTCCATTTTCTACATGACTTGCTCAGACTAGCAGGAGCAGATGATGAGTAAAGATTGGAGAGACTGAAATGAGAGGAGGGATCACTGGAGGTTTGGAAAGATTGGAGAGGTTGAAATGAGAGGAGGGATCGCTGGAGGTTCAGGTTACAGTAATGAAGGCAATGGGTGGCTGAGCTATGGAGAGACATTTAGCAACAGAAGATTGACAGGAAGGGATGGGACAGATTTTGGTGATGGTACAGAGTAAGAAGTAACAGGACTTTCTGGAAATGGCAGAAGAAAGCTGCAATCATGGGAGATGGGGGAAGACAATGGAGCTGTCGGTGTCAGTATGGCGCTGGAGGGAGATTAAGGGCTTAGACTGAGTTTGATGGCAGTGTTTTAACACAGAAGAGGAGGTTAGAGAGGGGATTGAGAGGTAGATTCTAGAATTGTCCAGGTACAGGTGGTAGTGGAAATTGTGGAAACATATGAAGTCACTTACTGAGAGGGGTAGGAGAGGAGAAGTGAAGGAGACCTGGTACAAGGGATGCCCAGGGAGGACATAAGATGACATAAAAGGCTCAAAAAAATAGGGGGAAACTAGGAGAACATAGATTTGCAAAGACTATGATGAACAGCATGAAAGGCAGCACACAGCTGAAAGCCAGGGGACAGAGACAAAGCCACTCATTCACCAAGGGAGTGGTCATTAGTGATCTTGGTGTGATGCTTTCTTAGTGTCAGACTGGATGAGGCTGGTTATGGTGGAATACCGCAGAGATAGGCATGTGCTGAGGCAATTTGCTCTACGTGCTGTATCTTGTGATCCTTTGGGATAAAAGATTCCGTATACCAGCAAAAAAAAACCAAACAAAAAAAAACCCTGTATATATAGACTATAATGTAGCAATTCCAGTTCGATGAATTCACAATTCACTCCAGGATTGGACTCCAATTCAGTGGTTTACATAAACTACTCCAGAATTTGGATTAGAAACATTGGCTTGTTGTCAGATATTGTTAGAGGGCAGAATGGATAATGTTAGCGGGAAAGCAATCACTTGTGTGAGCTCTTCTATAAAATAAAGATGTCCAGTTGCAGCAGATCTCCTGGTATCACCATATTTGGATTGCATGAGGACTCTGCTCACAATAATGGCCATATAGGGGAGATTTTTGACATCTAACTGCCTTTTTGGACCCTTTGAAAGTCTTCCCCGTGCTATATCTGGATTACATGTACAAATCCCATTAGCATCAACAGTAGTTGCTCTTGAGGGCGAAGGCGGACAACATGTTAGCTTAAGTATGCCGTTGTTTTTAATGTTTTCTCCTTAGGTCATGGTTTTTAAAAATAAATGCTAATGTTAAAAGGAAAGGCAATTCTAAAAGCATTCAGTGCTTATTCCTGCTGAGGTCTATTTCTTTTTCAGTTATGAAAATGCCACTGCATTCTACCAGCTTGTATTCTCCTTGCCACCAGTGGCTGATGAGTTCATGAAGTACACGATGAGTGAAGAGTTTGTGATGAATGTCTTGCGACAAAATATTTATGATCAGGAAGATACTTATGATCAGGAATCACCTGAATGTACTAAGATAAGGCTTGATCCAGCTTCTCTCACACTAACTTGTAAGTGCCATATATAACCGAATTTATCTATAGAAAGAGAATAAGTACTCACAGTTCTTTAAAATGAAGGAAGTATTTATGGAAAGTCAATAGGACTTGTCAGTTAATATATTCATGCACATAGAGGTATGGGTAATGTTCTAAAATATCAACAATCAGTGTTCATAACATTGTCCTACTCTTACTTTAATGTATGCATACATTCTGAGAGATATTTATTTAGTACTAGATGGAGTAGATGAGAAAGAGTTGTGAAAAGATCACTGTGCTCCACCAGCCTGCCTATCTCTCCAGCTTTTCACACTACTTCAGTTCCAGCCATGGTCCCAGGCAAAGAACAATACGTTTTGAAAACTGGTTACAAGAGGTCTCAGTAATGAAGACTTCATTAAATGTCCTAATATAGGCTCTTCTTTTGGATGCTCGTAAAAAAGTGTTAAATCCTTAATGGAAAAGTCAGGAGTAGCTGCTAGGTAACATTCAGTGCTTTTCACTTCAGAGTCGAGGAGGGAATAGCTCATTACAAAGAAATAAATCAAGTTCCCTAACCCCATAAACAAGTAATGTGCAGGAATAGTATTGCTTCATATGTACATAGGTGCTGGATAGAGCTAGAGGAAATTGTCTGTTATGATCAGGCTTTTGTAAAAGACCTTGAGTACTGACTTTCCTCCTTCCTTCCCCTCTCGTTATATTGTGGCTTATTGGAACGCATGAGATACTATCCCCTGTTTTTAAAATGTCAATGTATACGTACCAGCTAAAAATCCTATTGCCTTAAAGTTTGACTGAAGGTCCAGGGTCGGGTGATTTTTCTTCCTTACTGCTGAATGTAAGCACTGTAAAAAGTACTATGTTGTAAAAAGACTGTAGAAGTACTTTTTCAGGAAGGAAATTCAAACCAGACTCTGAAAACGTTTTGGTCAGTTAGGATGTAGTTTATTCAGAGCTCTAGACCCTCTTCTTACATTTTCCCAACCAGTCTGTACAGCCTCATTTCAGTGATTTTTAGGGGGGTCTTAAAGGAGGAAGTTCAATGCCCAAATCTCATTGAAAGACAATGGCAGTTGGGTAACCTTGCATGCTTTCAAAAATCCCAGCCTAAATCATGCCACGAAGGTGTGTAAAAAAAGCTCACACATTAGTTGCAAGAAATAAAATCCAGCTGTCTAAGCATGGGACAGAAAGCCAACAACTCATGTGCTGTCATTTTAGATCTCACACCTACGTACTTAACTTTTCAAGTAATAATGGAGTGAATGAAAAAAACACAAAGTAGTTAAGAAACATATGTATTGAGATAGTTTTAACATTTAATTTTAATTTTTTTAATGTACTGTTTCTGTTTCAGAGTAACAGCGGAAAGACTCCTAGTTTACCACAGCCACTTGAGGACATGTGTTTCCTGTATATATTAACATCCTGAGGAATGAGAATTAATTTCATTATTGTGAAAGGTTTCTGAAGAATATGGCTGTATTGTGAACACTTTACACAATGCAGTAATGTATGTAGCATATGCAATATATTTATCACAGCTATTTACGCTTTGAATACAACCATCTCCTTCACTGCTGTTCTGACACTCACTCCACCCTTGTCCAATCTACTTAAAGCTTTGTTGCCAAAAATCATGTAACTTGCCTGATGCTGAGCACGTTAATCTACTTTTGCAGCACCTTCACTGGTTTTATATTGCCTTTTTAATAGAATCCAGAACTTGTTCTTTCCTTCAAGCCCCTCCATAAGCTAGCTCCTTTCTAACACTCCACTCTTCTCACTCTACTGCCAGTCACATTTTCCTCTTTGCTCATGCCAAGTTGTCCATGCAGTTGCCCCTTGAACTTTGTTTCCCACACTCACCTCCTGGCTTCTCTCATGCTGACTGCATCCACCATACTTCATCCCTCAACCTGAAATCCCTCTCCAAACCCATTTCTTGCAAACTGTACATGCTTAAATACTTCACTGTTTTCCTGATTTTTTTTTAATGACTTTCAAACTCTTCCAGAGACCTCTGTCATGTTGCTCTCTTGCTCATCCTTCCCTTTTCTCTCCCTCCCTGTGGAGATGTCTGCTCCTGTTTCTTGCCTTAATTTAGATTGTTTGTAAGCTCTTATGGAGCAGTGACTTCATCTTTATTGGTACAGTGAAGTGCCATGTACATTTATGATGCTCTACTATTGTTCCATGGCCTGGCCCTGCAAACACTTAGACACAAGTATTTCCATTCCATTCAGTGGGATTATTGATATGAGTAAAGTGAATTTAGGACTGCCGTACCCCAAAGGTACATAGGATAAATGTGCTCCTCAGTGACATGTTCCAGTATGCAGTGTTCTAAGAATTGCTCTGGGCTCAATATAGCTGTTTACTTGCTAACTTAATAGAATTTGTCCATAATATGTGTGTCAAATGGCAAATATTTGACACAACTATAACTTGTTTTTTTAAAAGCACTTCTTTGAGTCCATATCCTGATTGTCTGCAGGGCTCAGAAAATACTCACCAACACACCATATACAGATAGGATATATGACCAGAGATGATTGTTTTTTTGGCCTTTTGAATGATCAAATACTAGTCACAGTTGTAGGCAAAACACCTGACTAAATTGGTCAGTAGTAACATCAGGCAAATCCTTTGTTTCTAAGCATGTCACATCAGAAAGTCAACATGTGATCATGTAACGACAGTAATACTGCATTTGCACATGGTGGAAAAATTAAGGCGAAACTGAACTATGAATTTGTGACTTGTGGGCTGAAGAGAGAACTTCAACATTATACTATGGAAGTGCAACTTCCTGCAGTGAATTATTCTGAGTTTTGAAGTTCAAAGGTTTATACTGAAATGTGAATTTTAATATATTTGTACAGGAAGATATATCTTTATAATCACTTTTTTAAAAATTTGGCATCTATTTTTAGAAAATGACTAAACTGTATCTGATGCATTAAATTATTTTTGTGATACTATTTAACATTTGTTTGAATTGTTGTTTTATCAGTTCTAGGCCTTGACTGGTGACTTTGGGCTGAAAGATGACCATAAAGGTAGAACTGTGCAAAACTTGTGTAACCAAACCTGCAATGACTCAAAACTTGGGCTAGGTCAGTTTAGATGAGTGAGCCTGGTCAGTGGTGCAGGATAAATGAGTGAATCACCTGACTCTCCAGTTTGTCACACAGTTATTGCCACCAGCACCACATTGGTATGTACAATGTGGCGAGAACTTCATGTTTCCTTACTTAGTGTCAGTTCTTATTTTTAATGTGACTGATTTTAATGCACTAATGTGATATAGGTGCTTTTAGAGCCATATTCTACACCTAGGTGGTATTGTCTTCCTGATTCTTAGCCTGGGGAAGATAAAGTTCACTCCCACCCTCATGGAAGTGACAGGAAGTCTTTCCCCCAAAGCAACAGACCATGAAGATTTTCCAGAAGCAATGAGAGTCATGCACAGTCCCCTTGCCTTTGCACTGCTGCTTGGTCTTGTGGCGCATTGTCTATGGTGACTGTACCTGCCCTTGAGTCCTGCAGGGAAACAGCACAATTGATCATCTTTCTTTGCCTGTTTTCCACATGGGTTTGGCGAGAGGAGCGAGAGCAGTGTTGGAGACTCACCACTCTCCAGTCCTCCCCTTATCCCAGCCAGCTTTGCCATACTTGGAGAAAGGAGTAGCTCCCAACTGCTGTAGTACAGAGAGGGGGAGTTGGGTCAGTAAGAGTGCTGTGGGGGAAATGTAGCAGGATGCTATCATGGAGTAAGGATTATATACACTAAACCTGAAGGGCTGTGCACAAAAGGGGCTGCCAGCAGTCTTCACACAGTCAGGCCTCCATTATAAAATAGATCCCCCACACCGTGCACTTCATTTACATGAGTAAAAGATTTTTTTAAATTGCTCTTTACCTTTTTCTTCGAGTTTAAGTTTAAACCACACAAGATAATGATATGGCAGATGAATGGGTTTTAATGTTAATCAACATGAAAATATGCAGTAATTTGGCTAGTAATAACTCTATTGTCCTCTGTACAACAACCAATGGTAGCACGTTTTATACACTGCTCTAAATGCAGCTCTCCTCTCTGCTGGTGTGCAGAAACTCCAGATGCAGATAAGACTGTCTTGCCATTGCTTTAGCAATGTCTGTGCAAGGCTGGCTGAGTTTCCATGAGTCCTAGCTGTCTTTCCAAAGGAGTAGCGTGGAGATGTGATGGTATTAAGATGAATGAGCTGCAAGCGAGGGAGAAGTTAGGCACACAAATGCCGGAGGTATTGTCAGCAATTATGTACATGGGAATTTCAAAACCAGAAAAAAGACAGAATTCGGAGACATTCAAATGTCCAGGCAAGGATACAGGGGGCTTAGTGTCACAGCATTAACCCTTCTAATCTGTTTAATACTCAGTTTCAGTCTCGCTGAAGTTTCAAGAGAAAATGAGTTCAGCTGTCTCATCTAGTAGTCTGTAGACCTTTATCCCTCTCAAAAATGTCATATTTGTCTGTCTCTGAAAAATCCCAGGACTGGAATAGTATGGAGGTAAGGCTCCTGCTGGCCAGGACTGGTGACATTTTCAAAACTGCAGGCAGAAGTTCTGACTCCATCTGTAGGCTGTGCTGTCAGTCCCCTTGTCACAAACAGCCCAAATTTGCAATATGGTGCTGCAAGCCAGGAGTGCAGTGAATTGCAAGTGCTGTGTGCCAGCGGAGCTCCTATTGGAAATAATGGGAAAAGCACATGTGCATTTGAAGGCAGCATTAGGTTCCCTGGTAGGCTTCATCCACTTTTAGGTGATGGCAGTGAGTATGAATAGCTATACCATTATTTGCGCATGAATCATCAGCAATGCAATTTTATTTCTTCATTCAAATGCAACTTCATTAAGACTTCTCTGAGATCTGGGTCACAGGTTGTAAAACCACTGTACAAATGGTCAGATTAACCACCAGGGCTCTGTCCCCACACCATCCTACATCAAGATCAGCCAGTGCAAGGGCACTCTAAGTCTTTGATTTATGATTTAAGAAAACAAGCATTCCGGTGAGGTTTTACCAGAGTCACTGAAATTTTCACCCACACTTGGGTCACTGGAAATTTTCACTAGTCCTATTCTAAAATAATTTGTGCAATTATTTAAAACTCTGCAAAGAGGACTGAAAGCCTTAACAGCTTCTAATAATGAAGCTCCTAAACTACTATACCATCTTGCAATGGGCAGATACTGTTGATTCGTGTTGCTTTGTTACCCAACTAGTCCCAGCATCATGTTGTGCATGTTGTGTAAATTTAATTGTGTTAAATCTTTTATGGTAAAATGAGTCACTTGAACAGTGGATGGCAGAACTACCCTAAAGTATAGGCTGTATATGTTAAAGGGATGCCCCTGGGTTTATTGTAAGTGTTGATGTTACTGAGAAAATGGTTTGGAAGACAGCATCCTAGTTGCTTAGAATATGCAGGGTCCTTTAGTGCAGTAAAGAGAGGTGCAGGTTTTCTAACTTATCAGGACAAAATCATATTCATTGTCCTGGTGACTGGTAAAAGTCATTTTCTTGGCAGGCATGCTGATGAAGGCATATTCAGTTTCATGGTTGCTGCTGTTTAGCATGGCAGGTTTTTCCTTAAGGCTATAATTGATGGTGGCGTAGCATATCTCATTAGGATGAGTCAAGTCTGTTTCTTCAAGATTATCCTGATAATGAGAAGAGAGAGCAGTATTAAAAATCTCTTGCCCTGCCCTGCACTGAAACTGAAGACTATACAGTGAGACTCATGTGGTAGCACTGTTGCTAGCCCAGTACCACATGGCTGACAACAATATTCACCGTTGTGGCCATATCTGCAATCATCTCAGTATTGTGTAAACTGTAGTTTATTGTGTATAGGAGCATACTTGTTAACTAATGGAATGTAAAATTGCAGATCTAATATTCAGGGTCATTAAAGTTTCCCACCTTGTCTTGGGAGGCAGTAAGACAGTTACCTGTGTGCGCGCGCACACACCCACACACCAGTGTCCAGGCCAAATTCCAACTCAGGCATTTAAGTTCTTACCCTTGTAGTTGCTCCTCCAGTTTTAACTGGATACAGTGTTATTCTTTCATTCCTGCCCTAAGTAGTTGTGCAGTGTTGCTGTGCATTGGTAAAGAGCTAAATTGTGCTTCAGAAGCAGTTGCGCTTGGAAGACTATTCAAATTCTGCTTATGCATATGCAGGGATAAATTCAGAGGTGAACCCAGTCTAAACTGGTGTAACTTACACCATCTCTGTCTTAGCCTAACTTACACTTAGTCTAGGGGTCATTTAGAATAATTTAAGAGAGACGCACCCATTTACTAGCATCTAACATACACCTGACTCCTTTATACATCACCTCTGTGTTTGACCTTCTGAGTACAGGGAAGCCAAAATTAGTGCAGCTTGCAGGCTGCTGTGCAGAGGCCTGTGCTAGAAGTTATTCAAGATAACAAGAGTCTAGCTGTGCCTGTAATGCAGAACTGCTTGTACAATTCAGCAAAAGTCAAGGACAAAGGACTGATTTAATCCAAACCACAAGGTCTCTTGATGCCACCCAAGGACTGGAGTGAGGTCAAATCTGGTAAACAAGAGGAGCGTCGGACTGGAAACCATGTTGGTGGGTCAGAAATTGGACCTAGCTAGTAGACAAAATAATGAAGAGATGGGTATTCCTTCCATCACTCCCTTCAGGGTTCTTAATAAAAGGATTTCAGGGGAAGAATCAAGTTGGTGGACTGGGAGGAAGGAAGGAGCAAACTTCACCATAATGACTATGATCCCCACCATCTCCTGGTACCCCCAGGTCTTTGTTGTCCTAACCAGACTGAGCCAGAGGCAGGGACCCAGATGACACTGCCACCTGCACTGGCTCTGGCTAAATCCCAGACACCACCTGGAATGTGAGGCTTTGGTTCCTGCTGTCCTCCCTTCCCCCATGTATCCTTTTCCTTCCCCACCTTGTTTCTTCTCTTTTCTAGCCCTCTCCTTTTGCCTTCTGTTTGATAAGTCTGGATTAGCTGGCCACGACTGCATATTTTGGAACATTTCTGTAAGCCTATGACAGAGAGCTAAAAGTAATGCCCTAAACAGACCATTGTTGGTATGAGTTTTCCAGATCTTGGAGTGGGCCTACGGGGCCTATGTTTGCTCGAGTAGTGAGAATGAAAGTAAGAGTCAGTACACAAGACAAAAGCTGCATTTTTCTCTTTGCTGTTCTTTTTTCTCCTTTGATGCGTTCATCTTGTGTGCCTTAAAGGATCGGACTTTAACGGCAACGGCTTCAGCCCTTCTCAATTAACTTCCTCTCTTTTCTCCCCAAAAGGAGTTATTTGCCCTCTTTAATTCCATCTAAGAACCTGTCAGACAGGGGATTTTTCCTTCTAAAAGCTCTATACAGGTAAAGGGAAAGGGAACAAGGGCTATTAACATGAAAGCCTTATTTAATACTTTGTATTGCAGAAAAACAGTTTGTATCTTAAATAAAAGATGAAGGTTTTAATAGTATGGTGGTCTTGGGAGTAAGCAGGCAGAGGTCTCTGTGCTTGGAACCCCAAACCTGTTTAACTGTTTAGTGCTATACAGCAACAGGGTCATGTTAGTAATGTTGACTCTTTGGGCCCATTAATTCTATCAAAATTAACATAACAAGGCCAAGAGACCAGAAGAGTGAAGAGAAGCAGGAAAAGCCACTAATAGGAGAACAAAAGTTGTAGGTAGAAGTATCACTTGCTCCTCCTCTGTCTATTCTGTGTGTGTGTGTGTGTGTGTGTGTGTGTGTAAGTAGATAATAGCTGAAAAAGGCTTAACTTATCCCAGGGGGAATATGTGAGGGGGTAAAATTATTCAGGGCTGGAGATAGGGTGACCAGACAGCAAGTGTGAAAAATTGGGACAGAGGTGGGGAGTAATAGGAGCCGATATAAGAAAAGGACCCTAAAATTGGGACATCTGGTCACCCTAGCTGGAGATTGCGGGGAAAAGTATTTAGTTGCAAACGAGATCTGAAATCATTAAGCAGCACTAAACATGGACCTCTATGGTGCCATTTTTAGTCATTGTGTGACTAGAACTGTACTTAAGTAGGTCCTACTCAGGTGCTTTCTGTAGCCACCCTTTATATTATAGGGATAGAATGGTAGTTTGTTCTCCACTACGCTAATGTCTTCAAGGGGTCGTCCTCCATGTTCTCTATCAACAGGTATGAACTGAGGAATAGAACACAATCCCTGAAGGCTTTCCTAGGTTTTATACAATATTGGACACAGCAGCAGACCATCTTTGTGTTTGTACAATACCTACCATAGCAGGGTCTTGGTCCACGATGGGGGTTCCTAGGTGAGACTGCAATACAAATAATTAGTAATACATATTGGGTTTTTTAATGTAACTGTCTGACCGGATTGGACATGCTCAGATGAGTTCCCTAAATTCTGCTCTATAAAATACACAGTAATGTGAGATGGACCAGTTCCTGTGTGCTTTAATCCAGCTGTTTTCTTCTCATCTGCAGGTCCTTGCCTACTGAAGGGTACAACTTCAACCCATCCTTCCCCATGACCAGAATCTAAAGACACCCCCCATCCCAACAGATCTGGTCTGTTTACTCCCCTTTTCTCCCACCTTGGGTATTAGGGAAGGATTTAGCCAGCCACTCAAAGATTCATACTTTATTCTGAAACTTGAAGGTTTAATCAAAAGCTTTCCAGCTCCAAAGCATTGCCTTAAAACTGCAGAAAAGCTTTCATTACCTTAGCGGCAGCTGGGGCACTTCTGTGAGCCTGTGCTGGAGAGAGAAAAGCAAAACATGTAAATTTCAAGCCTTTGGCACAGACACATCATGGAGGCAGGAGAGTCAAAAGTGTGAGAGACTGGCTATCAAAGGGACAAGGAAAACTCTGTTCTATACCAGGACTCTGACAGATACAGACCTTGCTTCATCAACACAATCCCTGGAAAACTACCAATCAGTGTGAAACTGACCGTGGAAATAGAATAGAAACTCGTCACAGACGGCTGAATAAAATCCACATGTATAAGCAGTTTTAGTTACCATTTTCTGAGCTTAGTGTGGACTTCAGGCTTCTCTCGCTGCATTATAAAACACAGCTCCATGCCTTTTGATACTTTTCCTTTTGTTTTTGACTGGGCAGGCTCAGAGACTGCCTGTGATAGAGATAGGGATCCTCTGTCCTTTCCTAGCTCAGTGACTCTCTGTAGTTGATATTGCATAATCTTGTCATCCTCCGTCACACAAGATTGTTCCTTTTGACTATATAGTTTTATCCTGCCTGTGTTTGTGTAGTAAATATGGATCTAAGCATGGTGGTGTATGGGATGTTCTACATGGCAGTGAGCACAGTGGTTTGGTGGACTGTGTGGAGAGTTCATCTCGTTGACTGTTTCTGTTCCAATTGTTAATGTAGAAATGGGGAATTGTCAACATTGTCCTTATCGACTGACTTATACTTCAGTACATGTGGTTTGTTTTCTTGTTCTTAGGCTTGCTAGAACTATTTGCTGTTTCTGTAAACTTGGAAAGCCAAACTTTCAGTTTTGGGCACCTAAAATATACATCAAGTCTAGTATAAGTCAGTACAGTATTAAGGCACTGAAAACAGGTATTTAGGCTCTAGTGTGCATCTTTGAATGGCTTGCTAAATCCTTGGTAGGACAGGCTAATGTTTTCTTTCTGATCTCCTAATACTGTACTCACCTTGGTGCCTAAATGTGGATATCTTTCTCCTTCGAAATTTGGTTTCACGGTGTTTTATCAATACAATATTTTGCACTTTAGCAGCACCTTCCATCAAAAGATCTCAAACACTTCAGTAATATTACTATTAGTACATACTTGCTGAGCACCAAATTGGTGTTGCCAGTGCACAGAATTAAGTGGAGACATAATTTCTGCCATCAGCAATTAGTCTAAATAAAGCAGTAAGTATTCCAGTGCATTTGCAGTGGGGAAAGATCATGCCTCTTTAAAAGAAAAGGTAATAGATTTCAGGTAAGTCATGTAACCTCACTATGTGTCAGAGGGAAACGGTGGCAGAGTCTGAGCTGAAACTCAGATGATCTGACTCATGTTCTAGCCACTAGACAATTCTTCCCCTTTTCTGCATTTCAGTTATGAAAAATGTTACTCAGAGACCTGCTAGTCCATGAATCCTCAATTGATTTTGATTCTTAGAGGTTTTGACCATGAGACTTTTGTCCAAACCTAAAATTCAGGGTATCTCATCCAAAGCTCTTTTTTTAATTGCACCTTTAACCATGTATTCTTTTTCAGGATCTGAAACTTAACTTAGGTGCCCTTAAAAGTTAGCCCAGCTTAAATAAAAGATTTTCATAACACCATGAGTCATCAACACTGTGAATTTTGTCCTGTTATTCTAAAAGACTTGCACAATTCTAAATGTGTTCACATGCTGACATGCATATGCTCAGGCACATACTTAAAGTGCCAAAGCACTTTATCATTAGCACTTGTGAGTTGATACAAGGGCCTGAACGCATTTCCAAAAGCACAAGCACAGTGCTGTACTTGTTGATATAGACAGTCTAAGTGGGCATGCTCATATAGTTGCACAAGAACACTGCTACATACATGACCTAATGCAGTAAACACCCTCTCTTTCATGATACCTGGCAATCTGGAATTCTTCCTTGATTATCGTGTGTGGTCTTGGAGGCCTTAAAATTCCACCTCTCATGTAAAGTGACTTCCCTAAGTTCACAGTGAATTTCCATAAAATTGATACTCCCTTCCTGCAATGGTATTTCAAGGCTAGAGTGTAACTGTTAGTGCAAATGGGCCGAAGCCACCATTGTTGTAAATGGTAGATACTCTTTGGGTATAAATTTGTCAGTGAACAAGAACAAAGTAATTTAATTTGCATTCCATGGACATACCAAACCAAGGGTAACTGAAAAATCAAGGTGACTGAGGAGGGTTTATGATAGAGCCAGCAGTCTTCCAGCTTTATCTTATCTTCTGTTGCTAGCTGTTTGTGCTACATGTGCTTCATAAATTACACTCATTTTACATACCCGTGCAATTCCAAATAAATTCAGGCTATGCTACTTTATCTCTCACAACTAGAATGAAAGCATAACTGCCAGTTAAATTGTGGGCCTGGCATAATGCTGACAGTTGTAGGCTGTGGGCACTTGATACCAGGTGTTCCAAGACAAGTACAAATTCTACAACAAAAGTCAACATGAAAACAGCCCTGAATATCCTGCATGTTGTTACTGTTTCTTTAGCGTCTACATTAGTGTGTGGGGGGGTGCCGACCTAATAGCAAATAGCGTAGCTGAAGTCAGCGTATCTTAGGTCGATTTACCTGGCCGTGAAGATGGCAGCAAGTCGACCGCTGCCGCTCCCCCATCGACTCCGCTTCCACCTCTCGCCGCGGTGGGAGTTCCGGAGTCGACGGCAGAGTGATTGGGGATTGATTTTGTCGCATCTACACTAGACACGATAAATCGATCCCTGATAGATCAATCACTACCCGCCGATCCGGCATGTGAGTCTGGCGATTGGTCTATGGACTGTGGCAAAGGGGGAGTATATTCCCCATCTGTGTTGAGTGCTTGTGCATGGACCTGTAGCCTGACTGGGACATGAAATGCCTGAAAGTTTTCCCCTATGTGTCATACTTAATTATGAGAATTCTGGGATACCATGTTGACAAAGGCACTGCACTGCAAATGGCTAAATGCTTCTTCCAGTGTCAGTACCATTAGGAATGGCTAGCCCTGTCTGAGAGGGGAAATCCTGTGGGAGCCACAGCCATGTTTTGCTTACTGTGCTGGTGTGGACGTCTCCTCCTCCTCCTCCAGTAGGCAAATGATTCTCTGCTGGAAAATAGAAATAAAGGGAGGCATATTAAGCTTAGTAGTGATGAGAGAGATGGTCAAGAAATGTTGTTGGATAGACTTTTGACAGTTTCAGTGAGAATTTCAGTCTTGCTTAAAAAAACCCCAAAATTAAATTTTCCACTGGGGAAAATTAAAATGTCTCTCTGTCTGCTTGCCTGGAAGGCTTTAGCCAATTTCACTTTGCCACAGAAAGTGACAAAAGCTTTTCCTGAAGGATGCTAAGGGAGAGTGTTCGGGTGTCGTCCGTCCCCCCACTCCACCCCCCGCCGCAGCTCTGAGGAAATGAGCCAGAACACAGAGGCCCAGGTTCCGGTGAGAGAGAGAGAGAGAGAGAGACATGAGACTTGTCCCAGAAATTGATTCCCTTTTTTCATCCAGTTCTAGCTGATGGTCCCCCACAGCATTTACTTTCTCCAGCCAGCTGCACACAACCTGCGGGGATGGCCTGCTCTCTTCTCCCCAAGATAGGTTGAAGTGGGTTATCTTCCCCAGCTTCTCCTCAATCTTGCTTCCCCACCCCTTGCCCTCACTCTGTGAGTGTACCTCCTGATGCATGGAACTGTTAGGAAGAGAGGGCAGAAGGCACAAGCCATGGCTCCTTGTCTATGGTGGGCCTGACAAGGGAGGAAACGGGCACTAATCCTGGGCCCCAGGGTGGTAGTGTTGAATGGCCACAACAGAAGGAGCTGAGAGCCAATCATGCCTGCCTATAGTGGCAAGTAGGCAGAGGAAGAAATTAGGAGATGGCAGATTCCAATCACATTTCATGGTTGCTGAAACCTGCTGGCTTATCCCCACCTGGTAGCAACTCTGTGTTAGAGTAAAGTCCAGAACTCCCTGGAGATTTGCAGCAACGACACACAGCTCTGGGCTCCTGGAGGTAATCTGCTCCAAGTTCTAATTAGTGAGAAATAGCTCTAGAAAGTTGGTGGTGGCAGCAGGCATTTAAATTGAGGATGCGGGAGAAATGCAAAAGGTGCTATAAGGGCTGATTGTTGCCCTGAAATGGGAGAAGGCTGGAAGACACAAGTCAATGACAGCCCAGCCCTAGTGGCTGTAAAGGGAAGTGTACCATCCCTTTTGATATAATTCTCAAGCACTGTATAATTTATTTATTTTATTTCCTAGAACTGGAAGGGACCTTGAAGGTCATCGAGTCCAGCCCCCTGCCTTCACTAGCAGGACCAAGTACTGATTTTGCCCCAGATCCCTAAGTGGCCCCCTCAAGGATTGAACTCACAACCCTGGGTTTAGCAAGTTAATGCTCAAACCACTGAGCTATCCTTCCCCCCAATCCAAGTGCTAATTATTGTTAGTCCTAATTAATAGCATTAAAACAGAGTCCTGCATTTTTAGGCACCTAAACATCTTTGAAATCTTTCCCCAAAGCTGTTTTAAATTTGGTGTAAAGAAGCTGCTTGTAGGACTAGTGCTCTGTCCCACAAACCTCCCAGAGACTGTTACAGATGCAGGAAGTGGCTGAGTCAAAAATAGAAATGTACAGCTTACGAATCATCTTGATGAGGACAAAAGGCCAAATATGGGGTGAGGAGAGAATGAAAAGCTGAAAATAGAGTCAAGAAACATAATAGTGGAGAGCTGAGGTGGGCCAGTGGATTAATAACAGGATGTGAAATCTTTCAGCTCTAGGTTACCATTTCCCTGCTTCCAGCATTTGTTGGTACTGTTAGGGTTCCCTCCCCACTCTGAACTCTGGGGTACAGTTGTGGGGACCTGCATGAAAGACCCTCTAAGCTTATTTCTACCAGCTTAGGTTAAAAACTTCCCCAAAGCACAAATTCTTCCTTGCCCTTGGAACGGTATCACTGCCACCACCAAGTGAGTTAGACAAAGATTTAGGAAAAGGACCACTTGGAGTTCCTGTTTCCCCCAAATATCCCCCCAAGCCTCTTCATCTCCTTTCCTGGGGAGGCTTGAGAATAATATACTAACCAAATAGGTAAACAAGGTGAGCACAGACTGGACCCTTGGGTTTTTAGGACACTAAAACCCAATCAGGTTTTTAAAAGCAGAACTTTATTATAAAGAAAAAAAGTAAAAGAAGCACCTCTTTAAAATCAGGATGGAAAGTTATTTTACAGGGTACTAAGATTTAAAACACAGAGTATTTCCCTCTAGGCAAAACTTCAAAGTTACAAAAAACAGGAATTAACCTCCCTCTTAGCATAGGGAAAATTCACAAGCTAAACCAAAAGATAAGCTAACACATTTTCTTGCTATTACTTACAATTTTTGTAATCTTGGATGCTTATTTTAGGCAGGGTTTTAGGAGATGTTTTTTCCTGCCCTGGTCCCTCTCTGTCCCAAAAAACAACAACAAAAAGAGCACAAACAGATTTAAAAGTATTTTTTTCCCCTTATTGGTCCTTTTTGTTTAGGTGCCAACCAAGTTATTTAAGCTTTTTAACCCCTTACAGGTAAAACAGGGATTTTATGCTACCTTTAGCTGTATGTTTATAACAGGTGCTGAAGAGAATGTTACTCTGGTAACTTTACTGTGGCTTGGGTGAAATGAGTTCCTGATCGCATTGTAATTCTTAGCCAATGTACATCTCAAAAACCACAGTTGGTACTGATTGGCACCCACTTCAGTCATCACAGCAATGATGCCAAGGACTGAATCGACTTAAATAAATGCCCCTTTCATTCCTAAATGGGGGCTTCCTTGGTCAGGGTGGCAGCACATTAATGGGTAGGGTTGCAGCTGTGTGGGACATTTAGCCTGCTGCTGCAAGGTGCAGACCTATTGAACATAATTTTTTTAAAGGGCCCTGGTGTGTCAGCTGCTCTTCTGGTTAATGATGATTAAAAGTTTCAGGATAGTGGCGTTCATTATGGAGTTACCCACCTAGCATTTTTCATTTCCTCTATGAGATCAACTTTCCCAAGGTCCTGAAAATGTATTCTCTTTGCTCCTGGCCAGCACTTTGGAACAGGAAACATAGAGGCAGCTCCACAGACTCCTTCCAAAAAATTACACAATGCTGAGTGAATGTTGGGACAGGACACAAAGATATGTCTACACAGCAACTAGACACACGTGGCTGGCCAGTGTTAACTGACTTGGGCATGGGCTGCTTCATTGCTGTGTAGGCTATAGGGCTCGGGCTGGAGCCCAGGGTCTACACAGCAATGAAACAGCCCCTCAGCTCAAGTCCACAAGCCAGAGTTGGTTGGTTTTTCTTCGCTGTGTAGAAGCACCCTAGGTGTTTAGTGGGGTCAGTATAGACTTGATGATGTACTGGAAGGAGTATCAGACCTTGCCAGGAGTGCATGACTGTTCACGTCCACAGGCTGATGACCTGTAAAAACACACAAACCCTAATCCTAGTACAGTTACTGAGATAATTCTGTAGCCCAAATGGCAGCTATTTGTGCTTTCAGAACAGAGGAGCTTTAGTTCTACTTTGATTCCTTTTGACGACCATGAAATGCATGCAGCCAGGCAACGTCCTGCCAAGTAGGATGAATTTCAGCAAAGCTCTAGATCTTTACCATAATAAGGAGTATTAATATGTTTATTCAAGACTTGTGTAATTCAAGACTGGGATCAGACATTCTCATTGTTGCGAGTTGTCACTCTAGTCTTTGCGGTGATGAGAGAACTTGTGATGGATCAAATAGATGTGGATTTGTCAGCATGCAGGAGGTTAAGATGGACAAAAATTATCAGAATCAGGATCCTTCCTGCCATGTGAAAACAACCTGACCAGCCTTGACAGTCAAGCTGAGTCAAGTCAGGTGGTAATAACAGCTGTTATAAGTTGTGCTATGAAATCATTAAATACAATCTGTAATGGGCAACAGAGAGCACATACATCTAATGTCCTTCCTATATTTCCTTCATCCAGCTCTTCTTCACCAGAAGAAGAGACTGGTACGGGGAAGGAAGCAGGCGTGAACTGAGATGCAGAGCTGCATTTGGGGTTTAACCACTTCTCTGCTGGAGCCTCTTCCTCGCACCTCGTGTGAGACTGACTTAAATGGATGGTTTCATTGGCTGTATCATTAGACAGTGCAAATGTCTGCATTGGCATTAGGTTTTCCCACATTTTTCTGATTGAATGCTTCTTGAAAGCACGTGTGTAAAATTTTAGAGTGCCTAAGTCCCATTTTCAAAAGTGATTTAGGCACTTATGTGCCTAAGTAAGCATTGAAAGTCAATAGGGTTTCAGTTTTTAAGTGCCTAAGTCATTTTTGAAGATGGCGCTCTTAAAAATTTTATCCTGTTTTTAACGCTGGAGTTAGACAGGTGTAGTACGGTTATCATTTCTTCCAGTCCTCTCATTATTCAGAGTAGTAACCAAGTGCTTTGTCCAAAAGGTTGAATTTTGGTTTGTAGATTTTGATGGCCATAACAAAGGGGCTCATTTGGCTTTCCTAAGGCATAAGCTGACCCTGAGCCATCAGCCATCAGACCATTCTGAGGTAATCTATTTTTGATACACTAAAACCACAGGTAAAAAACCACCATGCAAAGCCTTTTTCCTCTTAAAAACTGCTTCTGTCAGTTCATGCCAACATATGTATCACAGAGGAAACCACACGTCTGCCCCCTACATCTTGTTTTCTGATAGCACCTGCCACCTTCTGTGTGGCATATGAAAACAAAGAACAAGAAGCCTGGCTAAAAAGATAATAGCCATTGTGGTAAATGGGAATGGCTTTGAGGAAGTTCATGTCTGAGAAACGACTTCTAACATTTAGAAGACTGGCATATCCCAGCCTGTGACCCTGGTAAATGGCTAAGTTCAGAGAATGCAAATTGTGGACAGTGGCTAGCAAGGCCAGAATAGTGAAATGCAGTGTATTGCCAAGTACAATGGAAGTCCTAAAATGCCCCAATCCAGTGTAGTTTGCAAACAGTAGTTCTCATAGGGCAAACCTCTCTTTGTTAAGTTAAAAATAATTACTTCCATGAAGAAGATTCCACTGTCTCCAAAAGTTATTTGGGTGACTGAATGCACTGCTAGATTGACACCGTACACACCATTGTAATAATGTTTTGAATAAAATATATCTTGTGAGGTATCATTTGAAAACTAATAACTCACTGATCAATAATCTGATGAAATGTGTGTAGCAACATTATATATAAAGTTATGAATTCCCCCTGAGTAATGTTGGTAGCACATGTTCAAATCTACGAAGCCCCAATTAGGTAGGACTGGTCAAGCAGGTCTTAAACAAAGGAATGTGTGTGTATCCCAATTTACGTACAACTGGCAAACAAGGTCCTTGAAACAGCAAGAGGGAACAAGGCAAAACTGCATTTTAGCAAACAGCATGAAACCTCTTTCATGATGAGACACCCCACACACCCCATGTCTCCATGCTTTATCTAAGGGGTAACCCTCAGGAAAATGCATCTTAAAGGGTGACAGAACTATACAAGTGAGGGGGCAAAACCACCCCATGTTATATCTCCCTGTCCATTTCTCTCTCTTTTCCACCTAAGAAGACAAAAGACACAGACTATGGACGTTGGGAGCAAATCCTGCCTTGAAACTTGCTCAGCAATGGTAAGAATGTTACCTTGAACCAAGTCTAGTTTGTGAAGTTTAGAAAGTGTTTCATCTCTTGTAACCATTTCTGACTTTAACACTTTAATACTTGTACTCACTTAAAATCTATCTCTTTATAATGAGCTTGTTTTATTCTTTAATTAAATAAGAATTATCCAGTGTTGTCTTTAAACCAAATGGTGTGAGTAGCAGACTGTTGTATGTTGATCCCCTTAGAGGGGCAATGGACCTAATGTATCTGAACTGCCCAGGAGAGGGCTGGACATTGCGGAACACACATTCGGGGAGGAAAATCGGGACTGGGAGTGTGTTGGGGACACCATGCAAGTAGCAACCAAGGCTACTGGAAACCAGAGTATGGCTGGTGTTTGGTAACCGGCTGCTGGGGTCAGAGTTGCTGGACCAGGGCTGTGGCTGTATATAGCATGTGGCCTGCACACTGCTTGGCTGTCTATGAGCGGCCCAGGTGGCAGCTACTGCAGCAAAGCATTGTGAGGCACTGCAGGTTGCCGGCAGGGGCGAAATAGCCCCTCGCTGGTCTGGATTGCACCCCGGAATGTCATAGGGTGACTATTTCTACTTTTATTGAATGAAATCTGTATCTCTATAGTACTGTGGGGAACAGCCCCTTGAGAGAGTTTTCTTGGTGGTACCATAGCTACAGATATCCTATGGAACAGGGGCACGTTGGGATGTGATAAATTCTAGAAATATCCCACGAGTTCATCTGCCAGAGCTAGAAGAGGAACATCTAAGACCCTTTCCCATCTCTTTGTGACATCAGCTGGGAATTTTGGCTCTGAATGGGCATCACACTTTTTAGAAACCATTACCCCCCATTCCCTCCCCGGCAGAACTGGACCTGCAACTTGTTGGTGCTAGACATACATCTACTAGGCATGCCCTATGAGAAATGAGGTGATTTTAAATAGAGTACTTCTCTGACTTGATATACTCAAGGGATCCCAAGAATCTTAAACAGCCAGTGTAACATCTTTTCTTCTGTTTGCAGAGCTGGATAGGAGACAAGACTGAGACTCAAGAGCTGGGTTTTCATAAATTTTTAAGGTTCGAAGGGACCATTGTGATCATCTAGTCTGAACTCTTTTCCTGGCTCTGCAACTGACTTGTGTGACCCCAGACCAGTCACTTGAACTGTGCCTCATTTTCCCCATCTGTAAAATGGAGTGATACTTACCAAGTCAGTGAAGTGCTTTGAGAGCTACGGATGCAGAGCTTTATATTATAATGAGGTAATTTCCTGTCTTTAAAGATATTGAGTATAATTTTACTTGCCCTTGATTAGCAGATCACCTCAGTTAAGCAACAGATTTCTGATGGCCCCTTTAAGTGATCGACAGGTTCGGTCTTGAGTACCATTTGTCCCTGTTTAGTTCCTACATTTCACAAAATATCTATCAGCTTTAGCCCTTCTCCTCAATCTCCTACGCCAATCTTTGAACATAAATGGATATTGAACCTACCTCTTTTTTGGTAGGCAGTTCCCCATCCTTTCAAAGAATCTCAGCAGCTCTGGAAAGCAGGTAGTTTCTTCTTTTGGATTCCTGTTTTAGTTGTGTTTTCTACCTGGAGTTTTGTGAATCAAAAACCTAACAGGCAGGTGGACTCAGTATCTGACACCATCTGCACGTGCACCCAAATTCAACATACCAAATCTCCACTGCAGATAATCTCTCTTGACAAGTGGGGGTGTGGACAGGAAGACAGTGGGAGGAATTACTGCTGTCACTTCCTGAGATGCTGGAATGAGAGAGAAGCCAGTTTGTTCCTCATGGCCTCTACCTCAAACGAGGAGAAGTTGAGTTGTTACTGGGATGTGAAAGTAAAACATCGCTGCTGGGTTTCTTACCAAGCAGACAGAAACCACAGTCTCTGGTTAACCAGCTTTTCTTAGAAACGGAGCGACAAAAGTTAGTTTAAATAATAATAAAAAAAAGGCAACAAAAACCAAAACCCAACATCAATACTGAATCTTGGATATATTTCATTTTTGTTTTCTTTTTATGATTCCGTTAGGACAGCAGCACAAAAACTCTCCTTGCTTTTATTTGCTTAGAGCCAATGGAGTTACAAGAAAGAATGAGACCTCTGAAGAATGGAGGAACCTGAAACAAAATCTGTCCGAGGGGAGAATTCAGGGACCCAGTGCTTCTTAAATAAGCCGTTATTACATAGATATATTGTTGGGGGGGGGAGGGGGAAGGGGAGGTACGCTGATAAGACACCAATGGTGATGCAATAGGCATGAAGCATTGCAGCAAGGTCACCTGAAATGCAGGTCTAACTAGCAGGCAGTGGTTAACCAAAGAACTGACTTTGTCTAGAGATGATTTCACAGCACAGGCTGCAGGGTGCACACTTGTGGCTTTACAGGTGGACATGTTGCGCTGTGAGAGGTGTGGCAGCTAAGCAACTTCTCTCTTTGTCTTTATTTACGTTACACTTGCTAACTGTGTGTTAACACCTGTTAATTAAGACTGTAAATTGTAGCCTACTGTGACAGAGGGTTGTCACAGTTCACGCTCCCTGGTAGCATGGCATGGTTCTACAGGCACCCACCCCTCCATTCCCTCCAGATCCTTGCAATAATAGTTCAGTTCCTCCTTGTGGGATTTTATTTATTATGCCTTTCCAAAATACAGACACTTCGGTCTCCTTATCCTGGTCATGCTGTAGGTCTCCAAATCCCAGCATGGATTTAGAGGGATTACTATGATACTACAGGTGCTTGCACACATTGGGTCTACCAACAATTAAGCATGACATCAAGGACCTTCATTTGGATACAGGATTCTTCACTTCTTCCTGTCCCAAGCTGTTGTATGGGTTTGCAGTTAAAAGGATGTTGCGCCTCGCTCTAGGAATGGCTGAAATTCTGTGGTGGATGAAGTGAGAGCCTTGTTTTGAGTCCAGGTTATTGGCAGTTCCTTGAAACAAGGCAATGAAAACCCATAACTCTCTGCTTCATGAAACATGTCTATGCTATACGGGTACAAGAACTGAGCCTATAATGTATTTGAATGTGGCTATTTGTTCGGAGAACAGATTGTGATTTTTTCCTGAAGTTATTCGTTCTACAATATTTTTCAGCAGTTTCATTCATGGCCTGGGTTGCTTCGATGGGATGGTTCACATGAATCCCACGGCATTGTTACTGTTCCAAGACTGGGTGAGAATAAGTCTGAAGTCTTCTGTTGAGTTACTTTGAACTGGAGAGAGAATCTAGGTCATTATTAAAAGGATTAGAATGTTTAACTGCATATTAAGTTAGGATAGCAATAAGAGTCAACATGTTGTTTCTCACATAGTGGCCACTGTCAAACCCTTAAAGCTTTGCCTTTGCCAAGTTAGTACCACAGTATTCCAATGAATTAGGCTTCTTTGTACCAGTATAAGGAATAGAGTAAATCAGTGTTGTAATAAAACAAACAAACAAAAACAGTCCAGCTACAATATCTATCCTTTACCATGATGTTGAATGGTTATTTTTATTCTCCCACAAAAGTTTATTTACTCTGGGTGAATAAAATTTTGTGAGGCACTGACGGCGGAAACTATGTATTTGGGTTGTTATTACTACTGCAAGTCAGGGGGTTCCAGCATCTATGCTTCCTGCAAATAACAATTCAAACTCTGAATGGTGACCTTGGCAGAGTTTTAACACATAATAAAATGAAGTTCCTGTTTTGATCACTGGATGGTGCAGTTCAACTGGAGAAGTGTCAGTTAAATATTATAATATTATAATTGTATAACACTACTAATTGAAGAAACTGCGTTAGCTAAGCCTGAAATGAATTTGGGCTTTTCTCTCTACAGAGCTGTATCCCATTAGTGAAAAATGTGGGAGCTAAGGCCAGACCTGATGTAAGTGCATGCAGATTCTTTGACGTCAATGGAGCTGTGCTGGCTTAACACAGGTATGAGAAATTCTGACGCCTTGAAACATTACAAGTTTGATATTTTGTCAACTACTGAATTCACCTGTTCAGAACTACAAGTTTTTCCTGTCACTTGGGATCAGTATCCCAATGTTTCATTCTGCAGCTAAAGCTATCTGAATTTCTAGCATCTGGAAAACTGTTCTTGTGAGATTTCCAGCACAGTCTTTCTTCAATTTCAAGTACTTAATATTTTTTGTCGGGCCAGAAACACTGCACAGGGAGAACAGTTTCCTAGCAGGAATCAAGCAGCAGAATGGGCCACTGAAAATGATAAATGTAAAAAAAATAATAAACCACACTGTCAGGGTCTCCTTATTTAAAAAGAAAAAAGGAAGTATGAAGGCATGAAGTGATTCAGGTTTCATTTAAAGTGGCAATGAAATATAGAGAATATGGTTCCTTCTTAAATCCAGGCCAGATTACTTGTAGCAGTGTGATATGTTTGCTTTACAAAGACACCGTAGGGAGCATATTTAGGTATTCATAAAACAAGCAGCCTATTCAAACCCACAATAAAAATGTTTTTTCTAATCATATAGTAATATTGATACTTAACCCTTTACATTCTTTGAGCATTAATGAATTAATCCTCAGAGTGAGAGCTGAGAGAACAACAGGAAATGTTTTTGTGAACCTTTTTGAGAATTTGGAATAATATTTTGATTTGGGCCTGCTGTTTTTGTTTGCCTTTCACAAATATTTGTGCAACTCAAGGATTGTTTGAATATTCATACAAGGACCATAAATTTCAGGCCCGCATCTAAGATTTGCTTAATAAAAAAAACAATTTTTTGTGTGTGCCATACACTTCATAAAAGGTCATCCAGTCAGGAAACCGAAATAACACCATGGGATTCAGGTAACAATTGAAGTTTAAGAAGCAAATTCTGAATAGAGAGTAGCTGAGTGAACTCTCACTTCAGGCTGTTTGTGAGCAATCTACAGGCTAAGATTTGCTGACTTAAGCTACGAAGAATTTGCATTATCAACAAATTAATACAAATAATTATCTGTTTACAGACAATTGACAGTGAGAATAGTGGACTAAACTAACCAAATGAAGAGGTAGAACTCTAAGTTCTACTCACAACATCCAATGATGTAGGTTTATTACTCCTGTTGCACAGATGAGGAAATTGAGGCACAGAGAGAATAAGAGACTTGTTTAACACCATCCGGAAAATCAGTGGCAGGCCTTGAATTAAAATTTGGGAGTACCTAGTTGCCAGCCATATGGTCAGTCTACTAGACCATGCTGCCTCTCTTAAGTTTTTACTATCTTTTATGTGTGTCCTGAACCATTAAAAATTAGAATAAGAACTATGGCCAGAATTGTCAAAAGGGCATGGGACCCACAATTACAAGCGTGTGAACCAAAAAAATGAAAAAAAATATCATTTTGAGTAAAATGAAACATTTTATTTTAATTGAAACCGAACATTTTGTTTGGCTTTTGAGTTTAATATTTATACAAAATTGCAATAAAAATCCTGAACAAAAAGTGGCATTTTCTTTTTGAAAATGTGAAAATGAAACATTTTGATTTTTTTCTAATTTATTTTTACTTAATTTAATTTAATTTTTTTTAACCAAAATTAGTCAGTCAATTTGACACAAATTTGCGAAATATTTTGGTCAACCCAAAACTGCATTTTTCAGCCAAGAAAATGTTTTGGACAAAAAAATTCACCCCAGCTCTACCCACAATCTATACCACATTGTCAAGAGTTTGGCATCCACTGTGTTATGTTGAAATCTGTTGTATGAGCACTTAGGAAATTCTGGCTTTTTTCTTTAGGTGCCTGCGTGGGGGCAGAGCTCTTTTGAAAATCTGACCCTGAGCTTTTCTGAAAGTCTATTATTCTGTCTTCAGGATTTTTCAGAAAGTATTACACAGAGTTAAACTTCAGGGCTATTGTATATAAAACTCTGATAAGTAGGTGCCAGTAGTTGACTTTCAAAATTCAAAGAAACAGTGCCATACAATTTTGTAGTAAACAAATATAATGTACACAGAAAATGTTATAAACAGTATTTGGAATATTCACCAATGTTCAGTATTCACCAGTTCTCTTAGTTGCCAACTCTCATGACGATTTTGAGTGACTGGATTTTGGCAGGGGCTAGAGCCCATCTGACAATGACATGAGACACTCCAGACCCCAGGAGAATTTGAGCCATGCTGGGGAGCAAACCCCCTCTGAATGGCTGCTTGCCCTACTTGCCAGCTTCCTGGGCCAAAGCAACCAATCAGCAGCTACAGGCAGAGCACTCTTCCTCTCCTCAGCAACCTGACGCCATTCTCATGGGTGAGGGGGAGCAGAACAGCTCCTCTGTCTCCTCTCCCACTCTCTCCCCCCACCCCCGTGAGCAACAGGGATGGGATGGCGCCTCTGCTCCTCCCACCTTGTAACACCCGGCCTTTAAAGGGGAGTGAGAGACCCTGCTGTATCGCCCAGGCGTGGTAGGCTAGGGATGGGGGTGTGAAGAGCCTAGGAGGAGCAGAGGTGAGGCTGGGGACAGACCCGAACCAAAGACTGGAGAGACAGGATTGTGTGCTAGGCAGAAAACAGACAAATGTGGGGTTGAGCGCTTCTGCAGTGGGGGCCAAAATCACCTTAACCCAATAAATTTGAGGGAAGGGACAGCATTAATTTTCAAAGGGAGGGGAGGAGGAATTGGAATATCAATGGACAGGCCAAAAAACACAAGATCATCTTTTTTGAGTTTGGCAATACTTCCTGCAACACCCCTGCTATTCCCATTCACCTTAATCCTGATTTCTGACAAACCCTCTCTTTTGTCTTTTTAACTCTCACTCTGCTCTGTCCATACATCTCCTTCAAGATTGACACTATACTCGGCTATCCCAGCCCATGTTTCTCCTCTGTAGACACTCATGTAGAATTATGGAGTGTTGGGACCGTGTTGGAGACCTTCAGAATAATATTCCTTGTTATCAACCGGCAGATTGAAAATTAGATCCTCCAACATACATCTGCTCATGTGACATCTAAGCTTTCCCTTTCCCAATATCCCATCTTTTGGTTCTCCTTTATTTGTAGCCAGATGAACACACATACACAACTGCATTTACCTTTAAATTTCCATGAGTGCAGATGAAAAATCATCCATATTAGCTGCCAATACTTGTTTTTCTGAATTACAAAGCAGCAGTAGTCATCAATCTATCCAGGTTTCAGTGGGAATTTCTCATAACTGCTCTGCAGAAGGAAATGTATTGGTATCGCAGGGGGAAGAGTCTAATTATATAACTTACAGTAGATGACGATTTGGCCTGTCCCTAAAGGGAGTAGTGTATAAAAAGGGAAGTTCAGAACTGAATGCCTTTTGTTGCCTGCTCATCTGGTTGATCTCACAGCTGAGATGATATTCACATGCATTTTCTTCTCTTGGATCTGGGCGATGGCAGCAGGTAAATTTTCTATTCTTTGGCTAAAATTGTATGTGAAACTTTGTTGACCAAACATCCTGCTAACCTGGTGATGTACAGCTCTTATAAGATCTTTGCAGAAGGCCTTGCTCCTCATTTACCACCCCCTGATTAACACCATCAATGATATAACACTTCTGGCCAGACATAGCTGTTTTGTACTTGGTGACATGACCTTGATAGAAGCTGAAATGAGCTTGATAATGCTTCCTCTACTGCCACTGCATTATTCATGTTTCTAATTTATGGATAGTGTCTTTAGTTTGATATAAAAGGAGTGTATCCATTAGCTCGAGGCATGTGTACATATTTATTTTAAAACTACAATAAAGCAAATGAGCCACCTAAACTGCGACTTGCTTTCAGTTTACGTTACGACAGAGATTTTTGGTTATGCAGTGTAAATGGATTCCTTCTGGTCAGGATGGGGTCGTCTGTAATGACTGACATACAGGCTACTTGATCCTTGCCATGCCGCCCTGTGTGAAGGAAATATAGCCACATCGTATTGTGGGACAACCTTCTACCTCTTCAAGAACACTATATGTAGTTTCTCATGCTAAAGCAGCAGTTAATGTATAAAACACTATTTTCAATGCGGTGCCTGTTGTTGCTGGCATCTTTCTTCACATGCTGGTGTACGGTCCACATACTGATGTAAACCAACCAAGTAATGTTAACTTCGGCTGTGTGAGAAAATTGGTGTTGAGTGAAAGATTAAGACTGGAAATCTCTCACTTGTCGCCTTAATGGCATTTCAACCTGCTTCTATTCATTTAAAGAGAAGGAGGACAATAATTTTTCATGGAGAGCTTCTCTCCCATGATTCTCTGGCTTAGAGAGACAGGTTTTCATGGGCATGTCCCCTTCTAGCTGATAATTCACCAATACTGATTCTCAGAATATTTTATTCTATGAGCCGCCAGAAAGGGCTCTGAAGGTAGCTAGTGGTCCATGGACTGTGGTTGGAAAATAAGTTATAATTGAAGCATTCACTCTAAACTTCAGTCTGACTTGACCTAACCTTTCTGGTCTCTGATAGATGTGTATGTAGGGGATGACAAAATGTGTGTTAAAGGCAAGGTGGGGGGCTAGGGCTTTATTAATTCCCTTTCAATTGGACAGATGTCCATAGGGTCCAGAAATCATTAGTATAGTGGAGCTGCTCATTAGCTTAAGAGTAAGTGTTGTGTGAGTATTTAATATAGATCGAGCAGACAAATGTCTTCATCAAAAAATAACATAATTGCCCTTGTTCTTTTGATCTGAACTGGCTTTCTTGCTGGAAACTTTAGCAGACAGGCCAAGGATTGAATGGGCTGGAAGAGTTGCTTTATTCGTCATGGTGAAGTTTAATGTCCCAGTGTGATTCACAGGGAATCTCTTTATGGAAGGTCTGAAGGCAAAGCATGCTAAGAATTCTCACTCAGAAGTTGCAGAGGGGTGTTGCCTTGGTAAATAATGGAATCTCTGTTTAGAATGTGCCATGAGTGGATGAAAGGGAATCTCAAAATTATGTGTCTGGTCTGCCCACAGGCTCAGTGCAGGTAGTTCATAGGAAGGTCCAATCGTCCAAGACCGGAGAAAATGTTACTTTCCAATGCCAGCTTGTCATGGATCATGAAGTGCTGCAAGTCACCTGGCAGAAGGAGAGTGGAGAGGGCAAAGGCAACATAGCAACCTACAGCAGGATTAACGGCCACAGAGTCCTGGGTAACTATAGCAGCCGTGTGAACTTCACCCAGAGCGAACTGACAGTCTCTGCCATTACTGTTCATGCAGTCACCCTGCAGGATGAAGGCTGTTATAAATGTATCTTCAACACGTTTCCCATGGGATCCATCACAGGCAGGACATGCCTCAAGGTTTACGGTAAGACCCTATCACAAAGCGGGGCTTTGACCTTTCAGAAAGTCCAGCCGTTTCCTAGTTTGTGATTGTCTTTAGTGGCAGCGCTGGTTAATCTCTTTCTTTCTCGGTGGGAAGGTGACCTAATTTTCCCTTCCTCATTGGTTTTTACCTCTAAGAGGGAAGCAGTGGTGAGCAGAACTGTGTGAATAATGGATTGTTTCAATTCGCTGGCAATTAAAAAATAAAAAACAAAAAACAAAACAGTTCGGGTCAAACCAATTTTTTTTTTTTGGCAAATTGTAAAGTAAAAACAACAGTTCATTTGGGGTCAAACAAAAAGTTTAGTTTTGACAACATGTAAATGTTTTGTTTAAAATTTGACCATTTTAAAATGTGTTTGATTGCTTTTACTAAAACAAAAGGTAATGTTGACACAGTCATTTTGAACTGAAAAACCAGGTTTTGTTTAGAAAGTCAAAACAAAAGATTCAGATTTTTAAAGGTGGTTTTTGTTCATTTGTTTGTTGTTTTTTGTTTTTTACTGAAACACTTCTGGAAAACTGAAGGAAGAAAAAATGTGGAGGAGTAGAAGGGGCTGGGAAGAAAGGCTTTCATCTTTCTGGGAAGGAAACAAGTGGACCCATGACTAATTCCTAAACCTAAAGAGACAAATTATGGGAAGAAATCAATTTTAATGTTAGGTAGAAGGGAGGGAAATGTGCTTTTAAAATTACTGGCTTGTTTGCTACAGGAGACCATTAATTATGCACAAATATCTTTTCTATTTATCTTGTAAACTCAGGAATGGAGGCCCTGCCCATCCAAGTCCTTTCTCCTACCATTCAAACCAGGGCGGATTTTCTTCAGAGCACTCAACCCTATATTCTATGTTGCTCTGATCTGCCTGTTAGCAAACTTCTCCTTTTGAAAAGTATTTATTTTCTGTTAATGCACGTGCTCTCAGGAGCATTTGTTTCTGTGGTTTCGGTCATAATGTATACAGTGAAACCTCACCATTGTTCACTTCTCTAATTGACAAACATCAGTGTTTGGAGTTTCTGAGCAGTATCTGGTGGTTTTGAACAAAAATCTACTGGCTGAATGTTGTTGTTTGGTCTCATATGAGTGAGATGTCTTTGTTTTTAACATGATACTACTACTTTTACATAAATGGTGAAGGGTTGTTATGAATAAATTAAACAATACTGGTTAAAATGGATGATGGTGGGTCTTGCCATATGGAATGAGACTAATAGCCCTTCCATGGTAGCTGGTAGCAGATTCTTCAGAAGAAGGTATAAAATCCATATATGCAACAATTGCATCATAATATGCGTTTGGGTTAGGAGAAATCTCCCCACAAGCACTTAGTGGTTGGTTTGTGAACCATGAGAGTTGATATCCCTTTAAAATCTTAATTTTATTATTGTGTAACTGAGGAAACTTTTATATCAGGAAGTGACCAGAGATGTCTTAATTATGTGGGTGCCAAATGCTAATTATAGTTTGGGGATAATTACATGTCTCATTCTTACTGGAATCCCATGTTTCCTTTTCCCCACACTAACTAAAAGCTAAGGTTTTTGTACTGTGTGAGAGAAACCAGGGCCGGCTCCAAGTTTTCTGCTGTCCCAAGCAGCAAAAAAAAAAAGCTGGGGCAGTGCAATCGCGCCGCTTCACTCTTCGGCGGCAGTTCGGCAGCGGGTCCTTCACTCCCTCTCTTCCTCTTCGGCGGCACTTCAGCACTTAGCGGAAGAGTGGGACTGAGGGACTCGCCAACAAATTCCTGC